TATGCAGTGAGGTACAGCGCCGGTGATATAAAAGCCGATAAAGACAAGCAATTTAAAAGAACAAGGGACTGACGTAATTATTTATTTCATAGTCCTCGTCATGATAGTAGACATAGTAGACTGCTGAATTCCACTGTTGGACATAGGCCTCAAACTGCCATGGACTACGATCCTGAGCATTCATAGACTTCCCGCACATTTATCGGATCACATTTATTAAGGCCCCTTATAATTATAATATAAAACCATTTTTTGTTCGTTTTGAAATTTGAAATTGAAATTATTTTTTAAAACATTGCCCTTACTTTAGAATAACATTATCCTGTGTTGTAAGGACGTTTTACAAACATAAATTTCACGCAGACAAACACCCAGTTGCAAAACAACTATCTGTGGGTCACACAAATAGTTGTCCCGAGTGGGAATCGAAACCACGACCCCGATGGCGAAGACAATACCTTGACAACTGCGCCACGGAGTCATCTAGATTAGTGGATTCAACTACATCTTTGTCTAATTATTTAACGAAAATTTGTTTAAATACTTATAGAAGTAATATGACATATATTTTAATTTTTAATAAAATTTTGATTTCATTAATGAATTTTGTTTTAAAAATGTTGTTTCTCTTGTCTTTTGTTTCATTACCCTTCTCTTTAAAAAAAAAAAAAACTTCTTTATTTTTGGAGAGTATTATCCTGTATTACAGAAAATTTTAAAATAGATTAAACTTTTTATGTTCCCTATTAGTCCGTGTGACAATCACTGAAATACAAACGCACTGGTCACGCGCGGGCTGTTACCTCAATACTATTCGTACTCTTTTTCCTCGTAGTGGGTTCAAAGTTTTTGTCGGTGGAGGTATGGTATTAATTGAAAGCAGCAGAGTTATTTTATGTAAATAACACCCGCATTATTACACTAAATATATACTACATAAGCTGTTATACAACATCTGGTTTTGCTCTAATACCGTTCTTAGTTATAAGAAGACACTAAAACTGCTTTATAGTTATTATTTTTATAAGAGGTGAATATATTTGACCAGTCTTATGATCTGGTCTAGAACTATGTAATACTCTTGGTGTAATGGTTACAATTATCCTTACTAATATTATAAATGTGAAAGTTTGTATGTATGGATGGATGTTTGTTACTCTTTCACGCAAATACTACTGAATGGATTTTTATCGAAACTTTACAATAGTATAGCTTATACATTAGAATAACACATAGGCTATAATTTATATACATATTTTTATGTATATCTGTCTTTCTGTCTGAATGTTACGCCTTCAGCCTATTCTACGCAGACGTACTCACGGGCAGCAGCTAGTATATAATATTAACGTCGAGAGTCACGAACTTAAATCCTAGTTAGCTAAAAAATGTAATGCAAACTGTACTTCGCCGGTGATTCTTTAAATAAGTCAATGTCAGATTCACCAAAAGTGACTATTTTATTTACTTTTAAAAGTGTTTCTTTCTTTTTCCTTCATTTTACTGTGAGATGTACTCACTCATTAAATGCAGAATGCAATAGAGGAACCTCCCTCTGGCGAATTAGGTATATGTATTAAGTTGTAAAAGTGTAGAATTTATATAATTATAAATGAGAAATTGTAAATTTGGGGTCTTAAGTTTCTACTAAAACAGCTCTTCTATGTGTCATAATGTTTTATTATACGTTATAATGTTTTATTGCTATTCTACTCAAAATGAATGTCGCGCGAATGCTAATGTGAATATTATTATAACCTCTTTTTTAACGTTTTGGAAGATACGGCACAGTAAACATTAGTCTGATAACTGTTACGTTTTAATATTTGTATTGAATAATCTTATTATACAAGTACTCCAGAAATATTTTTATGGTTATTTACAAATAGAGCAATAAAATAATAGTAAATATTTTATAATGACGCGACGGTTTGGACAACTCGTTGAATAGTTACAATATTTAGGTATACATTTAAATAATTTAATTTAATAATTGCACCTACCACGATTTCTCATCGCACCCCGGGCTGGTCGATCGGCTGACTGGAGAGAATGCCAAAAGGAGTTAAGTTCGCCTTTCGTAATCGTTTTTTTAAAGTCATTGCAATAAAGAATAAATAAATAAATAAATAATAATATATCTTTGGATAACAAATGTGAATTATAATTTTTTGTTGTTACATGCATTCAATGGAGCAATTGAACCTTCATAGATCCTGCCTTGTCAGACAGGATCTACACACACGTATAGATAACATGCAGCACAAAAGTTCGTCCTGACCTACCAGCACGGCGATACCAATACTCCCGGTGTACAAGGTGGAAGGTGGTTCTCACCGCTCCAAGACAACAAAAAGCACAGCCGATTGCCGTCAAGGTCCGGTAAGAGGACCGTGTATTAGACATCGTAGTATATAGCGAAGAATCTCCTCGTTTCGTGAATGCACGCATGCTAAGTCAGGTTCTATCAAGCTCGTGGAAACCTAGTCTTTCACAACATCTGTGCTCAATGAAGCATTATAGTCTACGGACTGAACGCATAAACACAGTCAATAATTACGATCCCCATTTTTCAATGGGGGTTGTAATTATATAATTTCATTTATTATCGGTTTTTTTAATCAAGTTTCACGATTTTATTAATATGAGATCGAATTAATCAAAAGTTAAAGGTGCAATAACGTACACTCAACTTTAATCAATTTACGACGTCTCTGTAAAAGATTTTTTTAATCAAAACACAATACTTAGACGCTAGTGGTACTCGCAGCAAATTGCTCATTGGATTCAAAATGTTTTGAACACGTCGGCTAAATATTGTCATTGACCTGTCAACAGTACAAAAATGGTTATTGCAAACGCAACCGCCAATTGGCCTCGCCCACAAGCGCGGTGAAGTATCATTACTACACACACGAATTTGAACGGTTATCAGTACCCTTAGGCCAAGACAATGAGTCATGACTAATATCAAATTCTGCAGGACCGAATTTAAAGATGTGAAGGCCTTAGGGCAACCAAGAATATACCAAGGCAAACCAAAAATAAATTAACAACCTTTTCGTCCATTCCAAACATTTTTGGAGGCTTCCACAAGGGAACGGTTGTTAATATATTTAAATATAACTACTTTCCGTCCGTGGCTCCGTCCATATGTACTACATTTTATATCGTGCTTAAAAGTATAGCTTACTATAGCCTTCCTCAATAAATGGGGTGATCTAACTAGTAGTCCCTGAGATAGTAGAGCAAGTTGAAACAAAAAGACATCTGTCAGTCTGTCACCAGGAGGTATCTCATGAACCGTGATAGTTGACATTTTCACAGATAAACAGACAGACAAATACTAAAAACCAGAATATAAAATTATATTTAAGCGGGACTCCTACATAACATAGTGATTTTTTTGCCGTTTTTATTGATAATGGTACGGAACCATCCGCGCGCAAGTCCGACACGCACTTGGCCGGTTTTTTTCTTAGCGTTTGACTTTATATTTTTTGTATCATTAAAGCTGTACCGTAATAGAAAATGAGCATGACAATCCTTTATGACAATGTGAAGGGGCGTTAGTCGTGACCTTTATAAGTTTGTTATTGAATTTGAAGATTGCGTGTTTAGAATTAATAGGGAAATACTTGACACTTTAAATTTTATATTCAATCAAATTCAAATATAATATTTGATTGTCAAATTTTTAATACCGTTAAGGTACAGCATAAAATAAAAGTTAAGATAACTTTCGTCATTTTACTTTTACATAAAGTGTCTTGATGGCCTGATATAATATCGTGAGATAAAGAGGGAGATGACGGTAACTTACTTGTATTACAAATCACATAAATTTCGATAGTTTTTCAATGATTTTTATTCGTTTTATTAAATAAAGCGTCATTACACCACTTTAATACAAATATGCCACATTTTTATACTTCCATTTGTCGTTATGATGACATACCATGCATTTTTATTTATAAATGGGATCATGTATACATGAACATGTAAAAATTTAATTAAGTTTCGAATTTTATTTTCGATTTGTTTCGTCCTTATCTGAGAGGTTGTGGTGCGCTAACTCACTCTCGCGCTTACGCAACTTTAACAACCCTTATTTGTGGTTACAATTACAAAGTCAACCTTGTGTCATCGAGTAGTAAAAAATATCGTTAATTTGGTTTATAATTTATTAAGATATCTGCGTTATAATATGAACATATACATAATAAGGATTATACCAAGAGGTTACGGTCAAATTGGAAATGTCAAATGACATATTTCTCTTTGAAAATAATTATAATTCAATAATTGTTGAGAAAAAATTAACTTCTTTTTACTTATAATGAAAGCCCATCCCATCTAAAAATAATCACATTATTATAGTTACATAAGTATATAAACAGTTATATAAGTTTTTGTCTTATACTGCATTTGTATCAATATCTAATTTACGCTGAATTATCTATATTTTCTATTTTTTTTAAATTCCATGACAACTCTGTTGATCCTTCATCAATTAAAATTAAAATTATTAAATCATGAAAATGTTTGCTATATGGAATTATGTTTTTAATATTTTCGCTTTAATTATTACCTCCAGAGTTTAAAATGTAAATTAGTGAAAAACTGGTAGGTAGAATATAACTAACTTTTTTTTAGTACTAGTCTGTTTAGTACTATTCAGTAGACGATATCGTAGTCAACTTTACCTATTTAAAATTTTTTTTATCGTTTCCAAGTTTTGGAACCTGCACCTTGCGGCTACTAAAGTCTATTACCTGTAACACATATCATCATACATTTAACCGTTTTTTCTTTTGTAATATAGGATAACTAAAAATATAGCAAGAAAGGGTAAATAAAAATAAATTTAATGCAATTACATCATTTAATGTATATTGTATATACTGTAACAATTTGTAGTCTTGTCTCGTGTTTAAATGCTAAGTAACAATGACATTGGTGTGGTAAAGCAGTCGAATATACGTTAACTTGTAAAATTAACTTCTACCGAAAACTGAAACAAAAGATATTGAATGATTATTATAACGAAATTTAATTACAGATCATTTGCTTATAGTCAAAACCTATCTACAAGATCGACACATTTTTATTTTATTTTAAAAAACATTGACCTTATTTTAGTATAATATTGTGTTGTAAGAACACAAATATTGTATATTTCACGTGAACAAACACCCAGATACAAAACAACCATATATGGGTCACACAAATAGTTGTCCCGTGGAGGGATCGAACCCACGACCCCCGACGCCAAAGCCTTTGGCAACTACGCTACGAAGTCCTCACATAGTATAATTTCATAATACTTTTTTATGGTTAAAAAAACGGGCGTGAGTAAACTTCAAATAACTGAACTTACTAAACTCAATTTAATTCCTTTTTAGTTTTCTTAAAAATATTTTTAAGTTTACATTAATACCCAGTATAAATATAATCAAAAAGTTGGTAATGATTTTCATCATACCGTTATTTGCAGCAAATCCGAGAGAAGCCTACGCGGTGATTCCCCCAGATGCGAAGCTTTTTCCGAAGTTAGAGAAACCAGCGCTTAATCCCGAAGAGCGCTGAGCAGTCCCAAATCCTTTAGATCCACCAAGCTGACCACTAAATTTGTAGTTGTTTTTGGGGAATCCAACGCCACTACTGACCCCACTGTTAAAAGGATTCTGAACATACTGGCTGTCGTTTATAAATCCACTCTGCACTTGCAGTAGCTGCGGCATTAGCCTGTGCATTGGCAGAAGCTTGCGTTTGGAAACCGGCTTGTTCGTAAACATTCTTTTGGGTCTCCGAGTAATGTGTACTAGCGCCACTCTGCTCTGCATGTATTCCACCAGCTTGCGCGGTAGAAGAATATTTATTTTCGCTTTGAGAAAGACCCAAGGTGTTGGGTTTTACATACTCGTTTGGTTTTAATACACCTGAGGGTCCTCCAAAACCTCCAAGATATACCGCATCATTGGAGCTAACTGATGCGGGCGGATTTTTTTGTGCTAACAATGGTCCTTGATTGTTTTCATTTGGTTTGTATTGAACTTGAATATAATATTGTTGGGATGGGCTGTTAAAATCATTTGGTTTTAAAATACCTGATGGCCCCCCAAAACCTCCTACATAAGGTGCTTGATTTGATTGAGAAGCACCGTTCTTTTCATTGAATTCCCAAGACTGTTGATTCGATTGCTTCGATGAATCATAGACTCCGAGACTTGCTTGAACCGTTGGATTAATCGGAGTTAGCTCTTGAGTGTTAGAATCTGAGCTGGAGTTTGGTTTGTAAGGAGTTTGTTCAGCGAGACTATCTGAATATTTTGAAGCTTGAACTTTAACGTCTGTGTTATATGTTCCAGAAACAGTTGTAGGTTTAGTATAAGAACTAGTAAAGGATGCTTGGTTAGTATCTTTTTCTTTATAACTATCAACGTATGTAGATTGTTTATCTAAAGTAGAAACTTGGGAAGTAGGTTTTGTAGAAATAAATTGTTCAGGTTTGACATTAGGCTCATTAGTAGCAGGAGAGTTATATTGAACTTTACTGCTTGTGACAATCGGTCTATTTGGTTTTGAATTTTCAACTGATCCAGAAACGGTGCCAGAAGTGGATTCTAAGTTCACAGAAGGCGCTGAATTAAATCCATAACCAGGCTGGTTTAATGAACTTGAGTATTCAGGTTTATTCGAAACACCAAAAGTGTTATCAGAAGACCATTTCTCAATAGGGGATGACTGAACTTCCGAGATAAAACTACCGGTATTGCCTTGTTTGGAACCACTTACAACAGATTGGCTAGAATGTTTTAGTGACAATTCAGAATCGGAAAATCCGCCACTGGTCGAACCTGTCGTGACACCGGCACTAGTTTGTTCACTAAAAGAACCGTAATTTGATGGTTTTTTGTCGTTAAATTGAGTGGGATATAATTCTTTGTTATAGGAGTTCGAAGTCGTGCTAAAGAACGGTTGACTGTTAAGAGAAGGTTCTTTCTGATTGGACCCAGTAGACCAATTGGGGTTCAAGGTCTGGCTAAACTGGTTTTTTCCCCCAGTTTGTGACGAAGAAAGACTAGAAGCCTTAGTCCCAAGGGTCTCTACGTATATATCAGAGTAAGGTGTGTTTGGAGTAGTACTTACTTCGGTTACAGGTCCTAAAGTATAGGATGGTTCTGATACTTTAGTGACTTCGGATGCATAACCAGATTCATGTGTGGTATAACCTACATTTCCGGATGGCGATGTGGGATTTACATTGACAGAGTTTACTTCAAACTGTCCAGTCGTAGGCGAATCGACGGTGGGTGTTACAGAATTGAAGGAGGATTGGCCTAAACTAGAAACTGAAGACGATTCCAAATTTTGAGTCCATTGAAATTGGGTGTTAGATTGCGTTTTATCCGGCTGAGTTTGAGATATTTCGTATTTGGGAGTAGTAGAAACGGTAAGAGAACTAACCTTTTCCGTATTTCCAACCGTTGAAGTAGCAAATGGTTTGAATGTAGTGGGTGCGTAAGTAGATGAAATGATACCCCCGGCAGGAGAGAAAACATTAGAAAACTTTTGAACATTTGCTTGTCCACCAAATTGCCAATTATACGGTTTGTACTGCCCTGTGGAAAAAGGTTTGTACTGGCCGGATGAGGTTGGGGTGTATTGACCAGTTGAAATGAATTGTGAAGTTTGTTTTGTTTTGTCAAAAGACCCAGAGATTAAACTTGAACCATAAGGCCAACCAAACTTAGATGTCTGACTGTACTTTTCCTTTTCATCGGGTTTAGTTTGTGATGTAGAAGAGCTAGAAGGCTGAGCCCCAGCGGACCCTACATATTTATCAGAGGTAGGTTTGTTTTGAGTGGTAGGACTTACTTGAGTCACAGGTGCTAATGTATATGTAGTTTCTGATACTTTAGATACATCCTGTGTATAACCTGATTCATTAGTATTATAACCTACATTTGCGACTGGTGATTGGGTCGTGGGACTAACTCCTCCAGAGGTTACTTCTGACTGTCCCGAAGACGTAGGCAAGTCGAAGTTGGGTTTAACAGAGCTGAAGGAGAATTGGTCAGAAGTAGAAATTACCGATCCAGAATTTTGAGTCCACTGATTTGGTTTGTTAGATTGCGTTTCACCCGGCTGATTTTTGGGTGTTTCATATTTTGGGGTTGTAGACTTATCAGTATATCCTACTGATGGAGGGGTTCCTGGTTTACTTGATGTTTGAACAAGGGAAGATGTTTTATTGACATTACCACTAAGTGTTGATCCAAATCCGCTGGTATAAGTTGATTCTTTATTACCTGTTACAGAGAAACTGGTACTTGTTTTAGATTTGTTCAATGGAGATGGTGTGACAAATGGTTTGAATGTCGTAGGTGCGTAAGTCGATATAAACGTTCCTCCAGTAGGAGAAGGAACGTTAGAGAACTTTTGGAAGCTTGACTGTCCACCAAATTGCCAATTATATGGTTTGTACTGCCCTGTGGAAAAAGGTTTGTACTGGCCGGATGAAGTTGGGTTGTACTGACCAGTCGAGGTAAATTGAGAAGTTTGTTTCGTTTTGTCAAAAGGCCCGGATGTTACACTTGAACCAGGACCAAAAGTGGTAAAAGATGAAGTAAAACCGGGATAAACATTCTTATATGGCTTAGCTACTCCAAATGTACCAAAATTATTTGAATACAAAGGTTTAATTTGTGTAGCGGGTTGTGTTGTAGGCAGTTGGTATTGGGGTTTAGAAACAAAAGTCGTTGTACCACTTGAAAAGGCTGAATTGGTAGCAAATGGCTCTTTTGTAGGCTTTTGAGCTGCTGATGTTATTGCAACTGAAGGGTTCTTTTGTGTAGACGTACTTTTGTCCGTCAGTGTTTGCTTATCAGAATTTTCTGTGACAGAACTGTCAGATAAGGGTTTGTATAACGGTTGTTGTGATTGAGAGGCACTAGTTGCAGATACACTAGTAAGACCGCCGTAAGTATTTTGTTGTGAATTAAAAGAGGAACCAGAGGGGAATCCATTAACGTTTAATTGATTAGGGGTGTTTGAGAATGGCTGTTTATTTTTATTAACATAGTATTCTGAATCTTTTTTATCTGAATCAAAAGTCTGCGGGGAAGTTTTAGGTGGTTCAGACGATGTGAGAGGTTTATCTGTAGATACGACACTAGGAGACACTACATAGCTTCCTGAAGTCTGTTGATTGAATGGCTTTAATACTTCCGTTTGTTGACCATAATTACTGCTAAATGTAGGTTTCTGAAGATCTGTCGATGAAACTTGAAGGGGTTGTTTAACTTTTTCGCCAGATTCAAAAGTAGACTCATAACCAAAATTAGTACTGCTGGGTTTATAACCAGTGGAACCCGTAAGTGTTCCATAAGTAGCTGAATAGGATGGTTTATTTTGATTTGTTACAGCCACTGTTGGCTTCTTCGAAAATTGTGGTTCAACATTATCTGAGAATTGACTGACCGATACTGTCGAAAGGGTTTCTTTATTGGATGTACCAATAGAAGTTTTATGAGGTTCCTGTTGCTCTTGAGTAAATGAAGGGTTCTTGGATGGACTAACCGATGGATTTCCAGAAAATGCAAAAGCCGGAACATTACTTGCGGGCCCTTCAAATGATGGCCTGTACGTGGATTGTTGAGAGGCAGTTGAATAATCAAAAGGAGCACTACTTTGAATGCCTAAATTTTGTGCGACTGTTGGCTGTGCTGTTAAAAGAGATGATGAATTAAGTTCCTGATCATTTGTTTTGGATCCGATTTCTTTCTGGCCTGTTGACTGAACTTCACTGTTTGGGTTAGTTTTATCGAATGGAACACTAGTATCAACAGGCTTATAGCTCGATGCTACATCAGAAGAAACGAAGGTATTACCTGTTGGGTAAGGTTGATAGGATGGTTTTTGTCCCTCACTTTGATCTGTAACACCACCCGTAAATGATGGTTTATATTGATTCGACGACACAAGTTGATAATTCGGTTTTGTTTTATCTTTTGAATTAGATAGACCACTAGAACTATATCCCCAAAGAAAAGGAGAAGTAGGGTTGGTTTCAACTTGATAAGCATAACTTGAAGAGGGCTTATTAGTAACGAATGTCTCGTAAGCATTTGAATAGACAGATTCACTCTGAGAAGAAACTTGCACCACTGGTTTCACGGGTTTTCCGTTTTCAGGTGTTTGAACGATAGAACTAGAAGCTTGAGTTGGGTTCTGTTCCCATGCTGTCAATGTTGGGTTGACAGAAAAACTTTGAGAGGGTTTAGTAAGTGTCTGTACGTTATCTTTTTGCTGTGTAGCACTGAGTGTTTGAGCAGTACTCGAAATATCAAAACCAGAAGACTCGCCATCCTGTTTAGGGTAACTGTCAGAACTAGTAGGATTTAAAGTAACATAAGAGGCAGGACTTGAACCAAGGTCAAATGATTGATAATTCGTACTTTCATAAGTGGGTTTTTGTGTTGGTTTCACTCCGCCAAAATTACTGTTATATTTATTTACTTCCGCATTTGTTGCTGTAACGTCTGCATTAGATTTTGAAAAATCATATTTTTCCGGTTTGACGGTGGTGGTAACAAACTTATGCACTTCATTAGTGGTAGACGGCTTTAATACTCCTGCAGATGCTCCAAAATTAGCGGGGTATAAAGGTTTTTGGGTCTGCTTAAATTGCTCAGGAGATTCAGTTGCAATATAACCATATTGATTAACGGTTTGGAATGGTTCTTTTCCAGGATATGACTGAGCAGAGAATTGGTTGCCAGGTTTTATGCTTTGTGAAAAATATTCTGCACTAAATCCAGGTTTTTTTGAGGGTTCCTTCAATTGGACATCATTCGTAGGTTTCAATTCGGTGGATGGATTACCATTAACATTTTCGAAAACTTTATCTTCGCCTGTATTAGATGGTTTACTTTCAGGCTTATAAGAACTTTCAGCATTAAAAGTTGTATAATCTACTTCAGAGCTAAAAGATTGAACAGGCTTGTTAATCCCAATTTGTTGTTTCTCTTGGTAAGAATATGATGATGGTTTTATGTTACTGTCCGGAGTATAAACAAAACCTTGAGGTGCTGAATTCAAGGATTCGCTAAACTGGGTATTAGGTTGGTAAGCGTTATTAACTTGATTACCATCTGTGGATGAAACTTTGTCATATGGATTTAATAATCCTGGAGGTCCCCCGAAACCACTGCTGTAAACCTGTTTTTTCTCAACAATCGATGTGACTTGTGCTTGAGTATTAGGTTTGGATTGAACTGAGCCACTATTAATTTTTTGACCGAAGCTACCTTCTTTTACATTTGACACAAAAAATTCAGTCTTCGAAGTATCTTGGGATACAGATGGCTGTGAGCTAGGCTCTAAGTATTGGCTGACAGGCTTTTGTTCAGCTACTGCCGAAGCAAAGGCTTGTGGAGCGACGGCTACATTTTGGCCGACGGCTTGAGTTGGAGGCACAAAGCCTCCTGTATTAAAAGCAAGTGAAGGTGTTCCGACTTGACCAAAGTTGTAATTAAATGATCCTGTACTCTCACTTGCACTGCTTGAAGATGAAGCTTTCGAGAAACCACCCGAATAACTTGTCTTCGCTGCTACAGGTTGCACTATCCCAAATGTTCCTAAAAAATTATCATTAGTCAATTTTGTATAACTAAAGAAATTGAACAACACAATTTATTCCTTCAAATATTGTGGCTGTATAAAACTTACAACTTTAAAAAGTTTTAATTTAACTTCAAGAATTGGTTTGTTCTTAGTTAGATCATAGAATAATTACAGTAAATTATTAAATATTATACTACAAATATTATTTTAATTGGGATAAAAAGATTGCTACGTGGATAAAATATTATTTCTTTCATCCAAATCCAAATCCCATACTAATGTAAGTGGGTACAGTAAGATGCTTTTATGAAGTAATTAATACATATTCTATTGCTTCGGAGCAATAACAAGATATCACTAAATCAAAATATTTTATTAATGTTACGGAAGTAACAGTTGTTATTTAAATTAAAGGCAATAAAAAACAAAAACAAAAAATAAAAATATTTTTACAATATAACTTTTTTGGTTTTTGGCCTAATTAAACCATTTAAAGATAAAAAATCTTAATTATTTTTGATGCAGAACACGGTAACATTATATTTGGAATAAATTTAAAAGTAACAAAAAATCAATGCATGAGTGATGAATGATGGTTGTAACCGCCAATTTGCCCAATTTTCAAAAGGTTGTCAACGCATCTGGAACCCTCGGTGTAGCAGATGTCCATGGACGGTGTTCACTTAACTCATTACAGAAATGCACGAGTATGTATCGTGGAACACTCTGTTGGAACGAAGTTCCTTTCGTAGTATATAGTTATTGATAAACGTGTTATATTATTCCCAATAACTAAAATTTTTATCCCAAATTATATATCGATGAGTATCAAGGAGTTGATCCTTAAAAAATGAGTATGTTCGAGCGCAAGCACCATTATGTTACTAGAGATGTCGTTTACTACCCTCAAATGTATTGATTATGATGAGTGATTGCTCTTACGACCTAAATCTAAAAATATATCGATGTAAAGTGTTAGGCGTAACAACATTTGTATTACCTACGGTGGCATTTATTACCCTTTTGTTTATAATCTTTAAAAGTCGTTTCTGTTACGCCACAAAAACTAAAAATATCTGTCTTATTTTCTACAAAAAATTGGGGTCATGAACACCATTTTTTGGCGAATTGGAATATGGATAGATGAGAAAAAAATGAGTAAGGGCTGCATTAAAAAGTCATTTTCGCCGAAATGGCGGATACGCCCTTTGAGCCCCGGGGTATCGAAATATATTAAATCAATTACTCTCTCTGTTACAATGAGAATTACATAATAAACTTTTAAAAGAAAAATAAACCAACCTGTGGGTGTCGAACCGCTACCTTTCACACTGAAACTGAAGGGGGTAGCAATCACAAGGTTCGTAAGGGTCAACACTAAAGCACACGAGAGCTTCATTTTGTTGAAGCTTTCAGACTACGAGTATGTTGTAGTGTCGTCCGCTTTTATAAAGCGATATACGAATAGGCGCATCTAGCTTAAAACCAGTTATTGTTTATTATTAATCTGCAGATAGGTCGCACGGGTTCGCTAATATTTCTCATGCTCATTTTGAAAACAGTGCTTCGCGACGCATGGTAATTTGATGGAATATTTTTTATTAAGAAATTATTACTTATTCCTATCATGCCAACCCAAAAATATATATTTGTTGTGAGTCACAGTAAACTGTGTCATTTTATTGTTATGTAGTCTTCATTTAAAAAACAGGTCAAGTACGGGTCGGACTCGCGCACGAAAGGTTCCGTGTCATTATCTATAAAAACGGCAAAAAAAATCATGTCTGTTGTATGGGAGCCCCCCTTAAATATTTATTCTGTTTTTTAGTTTATATATATATATATATATATATATATATATATATATATATATATAATATATGTCAGAAATACATCATCTGTGCAAATTTCAACTGTTTAACTATCACGGTTCATGAGATACAGCCTGGTGACAGACGGACAGAAGAACAGACGGACGGACTGACATACGGACAGACAGACAACAGTTTTACCCTTTTGATACGGAACCCTAAAAAAGGCAAAGTCAAATGGAGTTTTAAATTAATGTAGTAGGTACTTTCATAGTACACTATGAACATAGAAATAATCAAGCGACTTATTGTAATAAAAGGAACATATCCAAATTCATGTATATCAAATAAGTGCAATTAAATATTTTTGAATTTTAATAAGTTACAATAGATGTTTTTGGGCACATCTTTAAAATAAACGATACCTAATTTCTTACACAGTAAATAATATAGACATTTACAGAGTGTTTATTATTTTCTGTGTGAGAAATTATTTTCATTTCTGATTTTAATTATAATTTCCTTGTTGTTAAATTTATTCTTATGGTGTTTTGTACTTACGATATTTTATAAATCTCAGTTTAAATACTTGAAATGGCAAAAAATAAATACTACTGAATTAAGTAACTGAGACATTATTTAACCAAATTTGTAAGTAAGAGATTCCTTGTCATTACAATATTTATAAAAATGACAAAGGCTTCGAGAAATCTGTGTTTTGATGCGTAACGCAGTGCTAACTTGCGACAAAATAGCGGAGAATTGCATTCCAATGCATCTAGTGTGCTTAGAGAAGAACATCCGGGTGACGCACAACTAACCAGCTTACCATGAAGTCTATACATACTATACTTGATTTGTATACAGCGCACATTTCGTGAACAAAATATAAATTATTTACAAGAAAAACTAACTATCGCGTTTTGCCTTTTTACATAACAGATATTATGTACATGTTCAGGCTATCGAAGAAATCATTGAACACTATTGGTTTTTATTTATTTCTATCTAATATTTTGATATTGAATTATTATATTATGTGAGATGATAGCATTATGTATTTTGTTTTCTTAACATCATACGAAAGTTGCGCATGGTCGTTGAACTCAAATATTTAGAGATCAAGGTTTATAACTGCCTTGAATATGTTTGAAGGTTTAGACAAAATTATCGTCAACGGATCAGTAAGGACAATACTCAAAAAGTATTTATAAGATTATAGTATATTAGAGCTATAACTATTGTAATTTCTAGGCATAACTTCAAGGTCATTCAACAGATTCATGATATTCAAAATCTGATTTCGGCGACATCCAGGCAAAATCAAATGTATTCTAACAAGCATATGGCAAACATACCAATAAGTCTTGAAACTAGTAAATAATGCTTAAACTCGCTTGCCACATGTTTATGATAATTTTCCCATGTAATCCCGATACAGCCTTATGCTATTTATATATTTATATAAAAAATTATAATTTCAATCATAAACCGATAAGAAAAAGAGTAAAGTGTAAAGTATAAGAGTAAAGTATAAAATCGAGAGCCTTGAAAAGAGGATCTAGCTTTCTTACCGGAGCGTGTTAATAATAATTGTATTTCGGTTAGTAGTATTTTTCTCACAAAGCGAAAAAGTATATCCAGATTTTTGGTAGGTGTATAAAAAAACTGATTTGAATAAAAAACAAATGTCTATCGAATTTTTTTTTAAATCGGTTACCATGTTCTTTGTAGGTAAAGCAATAAAGAAGCAAAGCAAGTTATCTATATTCAGAACGTTACACGCAATAAATTGCCGAAGATAATTGGAAATTTTATCTTTACACCTACTCGTTAATTTTTCTTAGATAAATGTTAGATCACTTCAAGTTCAAATCCCCATAAGAGAATATTATTTTATGATGAAAAAAATCCATGAGCACAGAAACTTTTCGAAACTATACTGTTATTAGTATTTGGGGATATCTATGTTTTCTCGTCTTGAGACTTTATGTTAATTGTTATTATCAAAAAATACTTATTACTTTTTATTAAGTAGGTATTATTAGTGTATTCATAAATATTTAAAGGATAATAATTTGTTATAACTACTTAAAGTAAAAGTAAAGCCAAATTAGCCTATACATGTCCCACTGCTAGGCAAAGGCCTCCTCTTACAGAGGGTATCAGGGCATAGTTCACCACGAGAGCCCACTGCGGATTGGCAGACTTCACATTTTATTTATTTATTTATTTGTGTTAAAACAATGCCTTTACTTTAGGATAACTTTATCCTGTGTTGTAAGGACATTTTACAAAAATAAATTTCACTCGGACAAACACCCAGATCCGAAACAACTATCTGTGGGTCACACAAATAATTGTCTCGTGTGGGAATCGAACCCACGACCCTCGACGCCTAAGCCAATACCTTGGCAACTGCGCCACGGAGTCATCGAAGTCTTCGAAATATTTATGATTATTATTTTAAAAATATGCAGGTTTCCTCACGATGTTTTCCTTCACCACTGAGCACGTGATAATTCAGCACTTGAAATTAACAATTTCATTGGTGTCGGCACCGGGGACCGAACTCAGGTTTCTAAGCTATCACGGCTCATGACTACTTAATATGTACTTTTCTATTTTAGTAACAAGCATTGAAAGACAAACAAATACACTTAATATTACGTGGAAAGGGATTCCTTTAATTTTATGGATACCTACTTTTTAAGTCTTCCTCGGTTACAGTGATAGCTAGTCATCTAATGGATAATGTTCAACACATATATTAGCTACTAAACAATACAGTTCAGTGTAGGTCGTATTTAACAGCCACATAGAAATACGAGTCCCATCATGATCTTATATTTGTATATTAACTATCTTGTATTTCAGTAATCTTGAATTTAAACCGGAACGCAGACGAGGATTCAGCCCTTAACTCTTTTGGTCGCAGCCAACCGAAAATCCGTCGTTACACCCCCGCTATAAAAAGGAAGGCGATTGATTATAAATTATGGCAACACTTAGAGGAATAGTTCGATTCAAAGCCTTCTCCTTATTAGGAGTTACATCCTTGATCGAAGCTGCTGCCGATATTGATATACCTCGTTCGTGCTGCTATAGATGACTGGCCACGCAGGTTGAAAGGCTTTTATTCAAAATCGCACGGGTCATTTTGAATAAGCTTAGCATAAGAATCCATGTTTTGTAAGTCCTTTTTGGTATATAAATGGTTACTGTAAAAACATACATTGGTTAGTTATTTTGTAGTGTTGTATGTATACAGCGTGTCGTCACAACCGCGACAATAAATGAACACATATACAGATGATAACTTTTTAAAACTGTATTAAACATTTACATTCTTTAAACATCAATATTTACCGAGTTATTAAATTTTCCAAAAAAAAACAATGTTAGAACATCCTTACGTATAAAACTGTAACGTAAAGTTCATTTGTAAATGTCACATAGCATATGAGCATGGGTTGAATGAATTTAAAAAAGATAAAACATACTGTTAGAAGGAGAGATTTGTTATTGCGACGCTGTGGCAACGAATGAAAAAGTCTCTGAATGTATGAATCAGTCAGTTGTAGTTGTATAGGATGTTATAAATATTTTTCAAACTAAATAAAAAATTTAGCTTGTTTGAAAAATATTTTCTTTAATTAGTTTTTTAACGTTTATATTTTTATATGATTATTGGCATTTAACGTTAGACGTGTGTTCATTTATCGTCGCGGTTGTTACAACACAATATACAGGGAGATTTTTTGAGAAGTGCCCAAACACAGGAGGTTCAGACTCGGTAGTATAATCGTTTATTGAAATAAAGAACAAAGTTTTTTTTCCAAAAAAAATGCCATTCTATTCCCTAAAAAACAAAACGTGTCGACAATGCGGTAGTCATTCATAAATACCTAAATTTTACTGTGCACAAACTTGTGTGCGTGGTAGTTATGAATGATCGCGCGTAAAATAAATGAGTTGCATATAAATATTTATCATTTTTTATATAACATTATTTATGCCTAGAATTTATTAAAAAAATGGATACACTTAAAAAAGCCGCCCTGTATATTATATGAATTTATATGTATTAAGTACACGAAAGCCGCTACTGCCCAACTTCCGGATATTTCCCTTGGTCGCCTCCTACGACACCCTCGGGATGAAATGGCTGGGTGCTATTCTTTCCCGGACACTCCACAGTTTACTTGGGGAAGGTTGTTGGGGCTTAGGTTAACAGTGGACGTCTTGCGGCTGATGATATGATGATGATGACTAGTTTACTTTTAAATTAGCAGATTTCTGTGCAGCCAGCGAATACTCATCTCTTATCTCCCATACAAGTATTCATGCAGTATTCATGTGCCATAAAGAAATATGTAATAATAGAAGATATTTTGTCTGTCTCTATTGTCCATTATATATAGAGATATTTTGCGTTTGAAAAAACAGGTTTTGAGAGTAAATATTAAATTATGTCCTGTCCTCCTTAATATTTTTTACAGATACCAGTAAAAAATCATCTGAAGAAATTTTAACGCTTGATAATTTGCTAATATTTCTGGCTGTAAAAGAAATTCTGGAACGAATTTTAATTTCATTCATTCATTCAAATCCGACCAAAATCGATAAAAGACCAAATAAGAAGATAAATAAAAAGATATTTTTCTTATATTAACTTTATTTCATCTCTAAAACGGTAGACAAATATTTCAAGCACTACAGTTGCGTAGGATTGCGCGTGTGCGACGGGTTAATTTAAACTATTAAAAATACTTCAAACTACAATGAGTTAAAGAGTACACCTGCAAATTTATTTTGGTCAGCTCTTTATGGGGAAAAGCATTTTCGGCGCGAGCGTCCCTTTAGGCAAAAATTGTTGGTCGCTATATGAACTCGTCGGGTTCGCGCGGTGCATCCAAGTCGCGGTAATGTACGACTGGACGGAACTCTGCGCCGTCACCCCTTCAAAAATTAATAGCCCATTAGTATCTGTTAACTTATATTATCTCTGCGGTAAATGCCACTCGAAAACAAACTCCTTCACGGACACACGCGAAAGTTTACTGTGCGTTTCGATGGGGCAGTTCGAAACGGTAGAAAATCTCAGCTTCCCGGTAGCAACGCTAGCAAAGTTTATAGCAAGGAATAGTAAAGGTTTAGAATAAAAAAGTAGATTTTAGTAACGTTGTTATTTATTTTGATCTTCTCATACAATAATTGTTTAAGTGATAAAATAATGGATTTATTTTTTAGGTTTAATAAAGACTTATAAATTCATATCGTGACAACACTGAGGTCATGCCGAAATATTAGGTACAACTGTTAAATTTCAAAGTATTATAAAGGCACATTATTTCAAATACATGTGGGTATACATTCGTGTTTAAAAATGTTGTAATGAATAATTTTGACAATCGGTGTGAATTACGCTAAAACTGAATATTGATACTTAAACATTAATGAAATCAACATGTTTTCACCAAAAAATATGAACATTGAAAAAAAAAATGTTACAAAAATACTAATAGTTTAAACCTTCATCACCGAAGAATTTTGATTACAATACTGTGACGTCACTATTTAGAATATATCACCGCTGTCCGGGAAGTCAAGATCGTTGTATGCAATAATGGGCCGGGACCGATCCACATTTTCCCTGCAAATTATTCCGTGAAGCTCAACACTTGTGTTATACATCTAAAGACATTTACATCTAAAGACAGGCATGCAAAAGATCTTATAAAGACTTTAAACAACAAACATGATAAGTTAATAAGTAAGCAAATAACACAAATAATAACAAGTTTGCTCCAAAACAATACATCTAAACTTAAATAATGTGCAAATGTCATGCAACACCACAAATAACAATATCTCCACTTGAGATGCTTTGCGACTGTATAAATAAGTGGATTCCGTGTTCAAAAATTAACTTATAAAAATCCTATAGCATAATCAAATAAAGCCGAATTAATTCTGAACTACGAGTCAATATAAATTTCGTTGTATTAAATGTTCTACTTTTAAAAACTTTATACAAATATATTATATTTCATTATATTCACTCGAAAATTCATTATATTTACTCGGCTTTTAATAACGTGAGATAAAATTGTTGAATTCAAATTAAAAGATATTATGCCAGCCAAACACTACTGCAGTTATGTCATTATAGAAAAGAGCACACAAAATTGATTAAAACTTTTATGTTTATTTTATTATTGATTAAAACGATTATGTTTTAATCTAATGTCAACATTATATTTCCAATAGTCTGTCAATAAAAAGAATAAACAAGACTAATATCCAGTCCAATTAAAGAAGTAAACTTTAATAGAGCGACATTTATTATTCTTAGCTCACATTTGGAAAGATTCTCAGAGAATCCCAATAACCTTATGCCCGTGATTTTATTACTTTCAACAAAGGAAATAAAAAGGCAAAATAAATCGTAAGCATTTGAATATGTTGAGACGAATAAATATTCCATTTTTAATCTAGGTCCGGTAGAACGATGTTTTATGTCCAAAGAGCCCTCGTCCTTTTTGTACACTGAGTTGTTGATATTTCACCTTCGCTTAATGCTATTAAATCGCGGTGAACCATCAATGGACTATAATGTCCTCAAACGGCCAATAAATTCACTGTGAAACGAGGTAAAGTCAAAATAGCATGCGGTCACTGCTAAAGTACTGAGTTTATATTGTTTTAAAATCAAAAACAATAATTAGAGATTAAATAATCTATAATATTGAGTTAAGTCAGAATATTGAGTCGCTATTGACGATTACTGTGGTGGGGCCACGCAACAATGTTTGCTGTTACACGAATGGGCAGATCTGTCCGAGTTAATAGATGTGTTACACTTCTGCGTTTGGTCTGGTGAGTGAGGTAGCCGGGGCCCACCGTTGAAAGGTGGCAACGTATCTGCATACCATTGTTGTAAATGTCCATGGGCGGCGGTTATCGCTTAACATCAGGTGAACCGCCAGCTCGCTTGCCACGTTATCACATACAAAAAAATGTTATTTAATAATTAAAATAAATATATACATAATTTAACCTTCTAAAATGCATATGTTTTTACACAATTTTTAAACAAAATGCAAAAGAAAACAAGAAACATTTTACTTTCCGCCTGATAAATTTCGGATGACACCGGTTTTTAAGGTCATTTCTAAAAATAATAAGTCAGCATTCGATGTTTCTAGAAATGATCATTCTCGCTCTAGTTGCAATCGATTTGAAAAGGAAAGTGTAATAATATTTATATGAATAAAATCGTAACTTCAAACACAATATTTTTATTTACATTTTTAAAACGAATTGGCTCTGCAACGCTCTAAGAATGTTTCTTAGATTACGTAGTAACTTTACAAAGATTACACGCATAGTCGCATATATAACTGTCCTTACAAATGTAATAAAATTTAATATACCTTCCTTATAAAAACATCACCATGCATTGTGAACCGTCATAAGTGTAAAACCGGATCAGGACTATCCTTATTATCACGATCAAGAAAAGGCCGTTCATAAAAAGATTGCTAAAGCTTACGACATGCACTACCATTGAATTGATCGTATCTCAGCTGACGTAATATATTGTTTGCACATTTTCATCATGTTGTACACTCGTTAAAATCATACGTGTCAATGTCTATACCTGGGGGGTATCGCTTCACGTACATTTGCTTACTTACTCGTAGATAGAGCATAGTTTTTATTTTTCAACTTTACCCTTTCTTTTATTAATTATTACGATACATATCTTCTTACTGTCTTTTCAACATAGTTTTTTTTTAAACATTTATTCGGAAGACTTCTTATTTAATAATTTAATTAGATAAATTATCTATTTGTGTTATTAAAACAAAACTTTGATTAAATAACATTAATCTACACTACGATTAGTCATCGCGTATAGCCGATTCCCAGTGCCCCAGTGTCATGCGTTTTGGATTCTATTACGTGCAAAAAGACAGTCCTTTTTATTTTCTTCGGTGTACGGGCGAAAAGTTCGGTTTCTATATATTCCCGACCTATCTGAAAGGCAGGTAGCATGAGTTAACACTACTTAGCTGGATCTGATATAAAGGTGTGATGTATACAATTAGTTGATGATTATTTATCAAGTAGGTACATAAAGTGTATAATACGTAATATGTGACAACCCAATTGGCGTAGTGGATAGTACACCCGTTTCTTGAGTATGTTTTTATTCATAAATACAACTCTACATATATACATATATATAGTACTAAACTATTTGTCTAACATAGAAGGAGTGTTAATTTTAAAGTTTACAAGGTGAGGGTTATTGTACATGTACAAAATGAGAAATAATTATTTCACTAATAATATTTTACTGTGATATGCGTATAAAAGTTTCTACCACCATGCAAATTTAGACAACTCCTCTTGTTTACAAATGCCTCCCGTATTAGTTAGTGGTCTAGTTCTTAGTTAGAATATTACATGGTTATCATTAAAACCAGTATTTGTTTGAACCACAAAACTGCATCTTTAACAACTCAAAGACAAATCAAGGCTGTAGGAAGAAAGCAGAAGCCCATGAGCTGACTTTTGACTCATATCTATGGCTATAAATAAATATATTGATTATTAAAAAAGTAAATAGATCTGAAGATATAATACGCGTATTGCGTGGGTATTATATCATGAAATACCAAATTGTGATAATGCTAACAATTGGAACGATCTAAGCAGATTTATACACTCGGCTATAAAACTCGAATATAGACAAACCTTATTAATTAAATCAATTAAACGGATTCATAGGTTTTATACGTTTTACTGAAAATGGAAAATAATTAAAAAAACTATAATCGTTTTAATTTTTTTTTATTATATCCAATATTGTCAGAGGCAAATTTTACGATAACCTTTAGCAATGACTGTTTGACATTTTGCACACATTGTGCTCGCGAAAGCTAGATTTAGATTAGATGTTCTCTGCTATCGCTAAGTTGCCAAAAACGCTCTGACCTCGTGTATAATTGATATATCTTGATTTACGTTAAAATTTGTAGAAAAGGACGAAATTTTCCGCTACGGGAGTCGAACCCACGTCTCCCAGATTCGCGCCAAGACGCTTTTACCACTAAGCTGAACTTCCGAACTAGAAAAACTTTAAAAATTAGGAAGTCTAATCAATGTGATTCCCTAATTTTCAAATGATCCAAAGCCTTGTCCAACTCCTACCCTATAGTCAAATTGAACTATTAAAGCGAATGCGATTAGCATTTTTCGCATTTTCTCAACTTATTCATTTATAATTAAGCACAGTGTTAAACATGGCAAACATCATAATCTTTCATTTGAATTCAACTTTGTTTTAACATTATTTGTTCAACTAGAATTAGCTTCATTCTATATGTATGGTCAAACATATTTATACAATATACTAGTTACCATGGCATAGATTTAAATATAAGAAATGTTTTTACTGAGACGAACACCGTTTTTCCAAATAAATAGTATGCTCGAACCGTGTACTACTTAGTCCGCTTTTTTTTCTTTTTCTTTTTATAATTTTCTTATCGATTCTAGGAATTTTACTTAATGACACCTGCATTAGGTGTTAAGCAAGACACAGCTACACATTTTCGACGGATATCAGTTAAGGTTTTCTGGTTGTTGTTTATAAATTTATTCATCACGTATCATTCAATGTGGTGAGATCCTAGGCAATTTTGGTGGATTCTTCATGAATACGTGGCGATTTGCTAATTAACCGTTACCATAGTGCAATTAGATTCGTAAAACTATTTCATCATGGCGTCACGTATGCTTTTTCATAGCAAACTGCTGAAGCGCCTACAGTTATAATTCGGACGAGATTAGCCAGGATTGATGTTTCATCGATAACACAACGCTTTGAAGTCGTGCGGTATTCGTCTCAGTGTGTAAGGACCTTTACAGGAAAGCAAAAGGCGAAAGCGAGTTGTATAAACATCTTAAGAAGTCGTCCATTAATCACGTGATTATTTTTCTTGAGCATTATTAAACTAAGGTGTAAGTAACTTAAGGTGTAGGACTAAGGAGAAGAGTAAAGCTCAAACGCATTTCAGTTTAGAAATCGCGCGTTCAACAAAAAACTTGATATCTCACTACAAACGCCTCCCCCTTGTGATATTTCGTGACCTTTGCTATACCCTCCTCCCCCATTTCGAGTCTCTCACGTAATCGATGGACGATCCCTTAGGGGTCTGCGTGATCGAAGCTTAGTAGTTTAGCGCCCTGTTACAATATTCTATCTATCCGTAGATTCGGCCACTGAAGATAGAATTTTGTCGCAAGTATTAGTAATAGTATACATACTGTATACAGGGTGATTTTATAAACGACGGACATTTTAATAGAGCATTTGCAAAATTTGATTCTAAATCGAATCTGGCACATACCAGATTCGATTTAGAATTCGATTCGAAAAAAAGAGGTCACAAGTACGTACCTGTGACTTCTTTTTTTTTCTTCAAAAATTATTTTTAATTTTTTTTTTATCTAAATCCAAGAGCATTAAAACCGTTCGCTGAACGCATAATTACTAACCCGCTTATCAATAGAGTGACCACCCTTAACGGGATAAATAAACGATGTTTGTGTAGATATCTTTCCGGTTGTTTCCCGTCAAAACAAAACATTAATATCTCTTTTGAATTATGCTACGCTCAATTAACACAACATCAAAGAGCGTACTTCGCCTAAAAAAATCACCCTGTATAATTGCGAGCGGCCGCAGAGCGATTAGGGGGATCGGAGCGGTGGGTACCTGGGGCGCGAGAAGCGCGGGTGCCTGGGCGCGTAGGGCGCCGGCGGGGCCCAGCCGCCCCACGCCCAGCCGCGCGCCGGCGGCCCCCCGCCCGGTACCCCGCCGTACCTGGACAACAAACGCGAACTGTCTCATAGTATTTATTCAAACACTCTATAGTCTCTCTAATACTCTAATCTCTTTCGCCGGTTCTTCTCAGTACAGTGGCTTTCTTTTCCGAACCGGTGGTAGTGTTTTGACTATCAATAAGTGAGTGTAATGCTCCTATGTTGAATAAAGACATTTGATTTGGATTTTGATTTTGAGTCACTGCACTCTTTTTTTTTTTCTATGTGAAAACATGCCACGCGAGCAGGCGGTTCGCCTGATGTGAAGCCGCCGCCCATGGATATCTGCTGCCAACAACCTTTCGAAAATTGGGCTCCGGCTACCTCACTCGATAGACGAAACGCGAAATCATTATACTTCCACTTCACGCCGATCTTCTGCGAGGTCATGGCACTTACCCGAACGAGCCTGCCCATTCGTGCAACAGCCGAGGCTGCTGCGTGGCTCTACCACAGTTAACTCGAGATGAAACATTAAAATATGTTGAAGACGGCAATCGATGGAGAGGTAGTCGGTGTGGCAATCAGCCGTTTAGCGGTTAAAGCGTCTGTGCGCGTGACATGGTTCGATTCCCGCAGTGCCGTAAAACTTTTCGTCCTATACCGACTACTGGAAAGATATTGTGCGATGAGCATAGTGTTTTTCCTGTGTCTGGGTGTTAATATATGTATAATATTATGTAGTTATCCACAAAATAAAAGTATGTTTAAGTATGCTTATCAGTTGTCTAGTACCCGTTAGTAGTATAAGCGTTGCTAAGTTTGGGAAGAAAACGTAGTGTAAAAATGTGTCCTGAAATATTCTTGAAATATTTTTTTCTGAAAATTTTAATATCTCATCATCATCATCTTCATTTCAGCCTATTGGGTCCACTATATCGTCATTGTCTGTTATATCTCATCATCATCATCGTCATTTCGGCCTATTTGGTCCACTACTAAATACACCCGCAGACTGCCACCAAGCATGACTCTGCACCATCGATTTCACACACTTGCACAGGTCATTCCATCAAGTAGAGGTCGTACTACACTGCAAACTATTTATCATAAATAAAATTTCCCTGTCAATGCTCTTTCGCCATGGACTCTTTGACTTAACCGATCTTAAAGATTGTTTTTTTCATTTTGTTGGATTTTTTCAACTTAGGACATAGGGTCAAATAGGGCTTAACCTCAATTTGCGATACTTTTTTTATTGCAAATTATTGTTTTTTCAATAGGTAAGTATGATATTAACTTAATACATAAATAATGTGTGCTTGTCCGTGTACGTATGGGGCGGGCGGTACTGTGTGCGGGGCGGACTTGTTATGATGTGACGCTTGTGTGCACATAAGTAATAGGGTGTGCGCATGTGTTTGTGTCCGTGTATGTATGGGGCGGGCGGTGAGACGTGCGGGGCGGGCTTGTTATGATGTGACGTTTGTGTGCACATAAGTTATAGGACGTGCGCATGTTTTCGTCCGTGTACGTACGGGCCGGGCGGCGGGGCGTGCGGGGCGGGCTGCGAGCGCGTCGGCGGCTCGGGCTGCTGCGGGCGACGCACGTCGCGCACGTACGCGTTGAAGTACGCCACCTCGCGGCGCACCTCATCCACCTGTGGAAACATTGTGATATCAATAAAAGGGTTTTTAAATTATGAATCAAAAACACCATAGCCACCGTGGAAGAGCACAACGGCCTTACTGGCGTAAAGAGAGAGTATTTAACTTGAAAAAATATTAACTCCGTTTGTCGATATTACGAGAATTTAAGTTAAAAAGAAACGCGGTAAAATTCACATAATATTCATTCATAAAAATAGTTTCACGTTATAAATATACGACATTTTTCATTAAAATTACCTTTTCGGCGTGCTTGTTGAAAATATGTTTTCTGATGAAATCAGGCCCTTTGAATTTTTTACCGCTCAGTGGGCATAGCCATTTGTCTTTTGACAGTTCTTGAATGTTGGCTTGAACGAACTTCTCAACTTCCGCGTCTGGATCCTAGGTAAAAAAAAAACAGGTTGATTTTGTTATTATTTCATTATATAAGTATTACTATAGTACACTAGGTATGCATACAATTCTCAATACTGAAAACTTGAATATTTAGTGATATGTAGAATATTTACAAAAACTCAAGTTTTAAACTGGCTTACCTTAATACCGAGCTTTTGCAATTCCTCATCGGTTAGGGGCTTAGCATCTTGAAGGAAAGCAGACATTTTGTTTTCAAACGATTTTATATAGTCCTGTATTTCTTGCTGCGTTGGCTAAGGAAAGAATAAAGGAAAATTAGTTAAAAAGATTTATTCGAACTGATGTCTTTAAATTAATGATGCACTTTAATATGGCAGAGTTACATACCAACTTCTGTAGATTGCATGAATGTTTCCCATTCATCCGGGTGAGAGCCTATCACAATATCACAGAAGATAGGTGTAAAATAGAAGTAAAATAAAAGTTCGATGTGGTGGTTGGAACTTACTGCTCAACCCCTTCCACACAAAATACAAATACAAAGTTAAAGTCTATACAATTACATCTGGTGAATGAGTTTACCTGGACTAAATTATTTATAGGCCACAGCACAACTGAGGTTGCACTTGGGTTGTGGTTTATGTTTTGTATTATAAGCGGCTATAATCACTTAACATTAACATCATTTAACCATTGGCTTGTTTGCCTTTGCATTGCAAAAAAGTATGTTAAATATTCATAAATTCATAAGCGAGTATACCTTATTGGGCGGTGGTCCAGAGCGGGCGTGCATTATTCCGCAGCGGTTAGGCATTTCGTCCTCGTAAGGATACTCGCAGTGGTTGTAGTAATCCACCGAGTGCACAATGCGCAGGTAGAGCACGAGACGGTCCAACACTCGGATCAGCTCGGGATCGGCCTGCTCCGTCGCAGCGGACTCCGCGGAGGTCTCCAGACCAAGAAGTTCCTCCTCCTCCGTGGACGCTTCCTCGATCAGATGCTCGGTTATTTTGTGAAGCACGGGATTTTTCGAGTTGAGGCTAAAATTCTGAAATGGGAAATTTCGTACATTTTTTTTATTACTTTAAAGATGGGCGTTTAGCCCACGTTTAAAGTCTACATTAGTCGAATGGCTAATACATGTAATGTATTTTAGGTTATTATGGAAAAAAGATGATTATTACGAAACTGCATCATGATTTGCCAAAGGTAACATGATTTCAAAGTAACCTTGAAACTTCTAAGTCAAAACAGAACAGTTTCAGATTAGAAGCTTTTGCTGGTAACTTTATTTAACTGTATACTTTATTTTTCTCAAAAACAGTTGGCAACCCTAGTTATATCATTCAGAAGAGACTAAGCTCACGTCGGCGTCGGCGTCGGCGGGGGGCTTGTCGTCGCGCTTGTCGTCGGCGGCGTCGGCGTCCGTGGCGTCCTTGGCGTCGGCGCGCCACAGCGCGGTGCGCGTGTCGAGGAGGTGCGCGAGGCGCGCGGCGAGGCGGGCGTCGGCGCGCAGCACCGCCCGCTCCCCCGTCACGCCGGACACCGGCCGGATGCGCCGCTGCAGGTCGCGGTTCACGATCGCGCCCAGCTCGCACTCGCGCAACTGCAAGCGACGTGTATTGGGTCAAAAGTACCGGACGGGTTGCTCGCGAGTGTGACCCTCGGTCGCGCGGCGCAGCACGGAAAGCTACTTATGGGCGTTGAAGTACAGTTGCGTACAGGCGTGCGTTGTTTTTCGATATTTTGTAAATAGTTTTTTTTGCTCTTGGGGGCGAGAATGCCGACTTCGTTCGTGCAGCAGTACGGATCGCAGGTATTGACCGTTGAAGTACAGATAAGTACAACGTTGTCTTCGGCATTTTGTTAATCGTTTTTTTAGCTCTTGGGTAGCGGCTGCGTGTTGCTGTTCACGATCGCGCCCAGCTAGCACTCACGCAACTGCAAGGGACGTGTATTGGGTCAAAAGTACCGGACAGGTTGCTCGCGAGTGCTGCCCTAAGTCGCACAGCAGCGCAGAAAACTACTACTGAGCGTTGCAGTACAGTTGCGTACAGCGTTGTTTTTCGATGTTTTGTAAATAGCTTGTAATTTGCTCTTGGGGGAGAGAGTGCCATCCTCGTTCGCGCAGCAGTAGGTTTTGCTCGTATTGAGCGTTGAAGTGCAGAAAGTACAGAGTTGTCTTCGGTATTTTGTTAATCGTTTTTTAAGTTCTTGGCTGCGGCGTCCAGCTCGCACTCGCGCAACCGGAAAGCGTCGAATACTGCGTCAAAAGTACCGGAGTGGTTACTTGCTGTTGCGGGCGAGAGTGCTGCCCTCGTTCGGGCAGCAGTACGGATCGTCCCTAATGAGCGTTGAGGTAGAGTTGCGAACAGCGTTGTTTCCGTAATGTGTAAATAGTTTTTTTTGTTTCTTGGGCAACCGCTGCGCGTGACAGTGCAAGTGTTTATGAAATATCCCTTTCGATATATGAGATAGAATTATATTAGTACTAGTTGGCAAGCGAAATTCTTGCACATTACCATGATAAATGGTTATATAGACTTATTTTAGTGTATTGATCAATGAAAGATCTAATTTTGAAGAATAACGTTATTCAATTCCCTTCGCTATCTTTCATTTAAACAAATTATCACTAGATAGCATTGTCATACACTCTTTAAAACAAAAGTTTTTGTATGTAAACATTATTCTAGTGAAAACTAGCCGCAAACGTAAGCTTCAAAATGGCGTTTGGATTATAATAAATAACTTGATGAAGAATTATGAAAGTTATTCATGTTACGCATTCCGGCACAAAAAACTTTCATTATATTGTGTTCACTTTACCATCAACAGTACACACAATTTTAATAATGCATGTGTTGCACCCCTAATGGCATGTATACTCACCCGTATGTTATTGAGGTTCCAGCAGATGTCTTTGATGTTGACCTCGCGCCGGAAGGTCACCCAGCCGCGGCGGAACCAGCGCCTCTCTGGCAAAGGGTCGGCCAATGCCACGCGGAGAAAGCCGCCGTAGCGCTTGCACATCTGGCACATTGACGATACCGCATTATTTTAATGACTTGGCCAATTACCATAGTGTAGATGAATTAATCAGTAATACTTACAGCTTCAACTTCCGCCTTGGCGATGGATGGAGCTAAATTCCTTAAGAATATCGACGTAGTCTTATGCAGAGCGCGGGACTCCTTCTTCTCTACTGTAGCATCATTACCACTCTCCGATTTATTTTCTCCATTATTCTCCTTTGCTTTATCCGTTTCGGGCGCATCGTCGATCTTTTCCACGCTCGGTGATTTCTCTTTTTGCTTGGGCGATTTCTCCGGTGTCTTCGATTTGGACTTGGATTTGCGACGAGTGGTCGTTTCGCCTTCGTCTTCTGAACTCGACGATGAAGAACTAGATGACGAAGAGCTTGATGATGAAACAGCAGGTGGAGCTGAAATTAAGTAATCAATATTAATTAGTTCTTGCGTACACAGGTCTAAAAGTCTTTATCATCTGAGTCATCCTATGACCAATGTACTGGGATGTACGGAATCCAATAAAACAGAAGTACACATCTATTACATCTATTATAACACATTGAACAGAAAAATACTTCTTTGTAATACATATTATAAATTAAATAATCCCCTTCATAATAATCATTGGTAATATTATAAAAGTTATGTTAATTGTTAAATTCTAACAATCAAGGGTCAAAGTCTTAGCAATTCATAATTATGTTTAATTCTCAATCGGTGCCTCAACAGCATATATATGTCCCACTGCTGGGCAAAGGTCTCCTATATGCTAAGTAATCATAATTCTCATTATAAAAATATTTTTCTGTTAATAAGATTGTCTATGAAGTATTCAAAAAGCTTTACAACATTAAAAGAAATTAGGAACATAATCATCATATTAATTATAGGGAATAATCATGTCTCATGTCATTTTATATGATGTAAATATGACTAAAATAATACATATTATTTGAGTTTAGTTTCTTATATTCTTTATCATTTTATTTACTTATTACATTAGAAAGGGATAACTGGGATTGCCTTTAAGCATTTGCTCTCAGTCATCATCGGGTGTGAAGATGAATTGTGGTAGAAAATTATATTCAATAATATCATATCATGCAGGAATTTGACAGATGCAGGTGGCTCAGATTCATGCTTCGATGAGGCCATTGTTCAGAAGTGGACTAACAAGCTAAAATGATGATGATTAGTGTAATAACTGATGTAACATAAACAAAACGAAACTCACGAGGCTCCTTCTCCGGTGGTTTCTCAGATTCGTTCTCACTACCCGGTTGGGAGTTAAATCGCGAAAACAATTTCGCTTGCTCTTGCAGCTGTCGCAGATGGGGGTCTATCTCCATTGTAAGAGGTGCAGTTGGCTTCGGCGACTCCGCCTTCTTATCCTGAAATGGACACATTTTATAAAGTACTTATAAGAGATATTTCACAAGTGTTGGTAGTGCAACTGTGTGATTTTTTTAAATTATATAGTAATCAACAGTGTTATGTTTTGTCTTTAGGCATGTGGCTTAAAGAATTACTTACATTTACAGTATATTATATTTATGTAGTTGGCAAAGAGTTATAACAGAATAGACATGTGTTCTGTAGGTATTACAAAGATAGATGAAAAAAAATTCAATTGTACCTTTTCTTGATCTGGCTCATCCTTTTCGTCCTTGACTTTTACCTCGTCGACATCAATTACTACTGGTTTCTCAGTGTTATTTTTGTCTAAAATAAAAAAAAAACCCTACTTTGCATTGATTCAAACACTTATATTGATTTACTCCTTGATAAAACATTATTCAATATTGCTTCAACCTTACACACATTTTTAATTTTTCTTATTACCTACACATTTCAATTAAATAATGGAAAAGCAACTTTGTGCATGAATGACTCTTCATTTCACTGATTTTTCTAATGTACAAAAATCCTGGCCCACACTTAAATAAGTAAAGTAAAGAGGCTAATCACCATTTATGTTTGCAACTTAATAATTTTGGTGAAATAACTACTTAGATATCATCTATAATTTAATTTAATTGGGATAATCTTATAGGATATTTATCCAATTGGATAATTATCCAATCATGTTTTGACCCTAATGTGGTTAGGCGACGCTAATTAAACCTCTGGATGTGTTTAATTTAAGCATTTAAAATTTTAATTTTCCTCAGAGGAATTTCATTGGCTTCATCAACAGGAACTGAACTTCGGTTACAATAATAATCTAGGGGTTTCATGGATATCAATAAATTATTTACCTTTTAATATATTACCTTGTTTTTCATTATTGTTGGAGCTTTCTTGTGGTGAAGGATCATCCAACACCTTTAAATCCTCTTCAGTCCCACCCTCTAGTTTGATAACAACAGTATCAAGTAGCCTTATCAATTTGTCAGACTTGTCAACATCTACTGATACTTTATCCAGTTCTCCATTTTGTAATAACTCAAGGAAGACATTTAATCTATTCTGTGTAAGGAAACAAATAAATGATAAAATGTATATTATTAATGACAACATAACTGGCTGACAAGATAATAACATTTTATACCTTCAATGCTGCTAATTGCTCTTCTTTGCGTTTTACAGATTCTTCAGGATGATATTTGATCTTGAACCTATAATGTAATGTTTTTGTATAACTTTATTTAAATAAGAAGATGAACATATTTCGCTACAAACATCGAATCAAGTTAGACCAAGTTCCATGAAATATTTTCTAAAATTGACACTTTCGGCACAAAGAAAATGCTTTTTTTGAAAAAAGAAGTAAAATAATATGATTTTAGTCTTTATTTAAGAATTTATAATAAAAACACAACATTAAAACAATTTTTCAAAAGATTTTGGTAAGAATAAAAAACCAAACCTATGCAAAAAAAAAATGAAAATTGGTCTAGAGATACCTGGATAAACCTTTGTCAAATTCACAGATGTTGACCATGAAGTGGGAAAAAAGAACTAAAATGACTTATAAAAATTTAAAAAATCTTCAGTCTCACCTGTTCCACACATGTGGACTATTAAACCCTACCCCTAACATAAACGAAACCTGTAGCATTGCGCGCTACTGGTCAACGCGAGAATAGCTAGCTACACACAGCATTTTAACATTTGTACAAAGTTTATAATTTTCTTAACGCTGTCCAGCAAATCCACACGAAAACGCTGTAGACTGTAGGGGAAAAAAGGTCATTGTTAAAATTTGCATAGTTCCTTTAAAAAAATCTAGGCAAACTTACCAACCATACATCTTACTACAATATATTCCAGCAGCATCTATGACAGGTATGGTGTATATTTGCTTAGATTTTTTTAATCACCAGCAAATTTAGGATAACAATTACACAAAAATTGCAGCATTATAATTTTTAGTAAAATTCAACTTTTCTTTCATTTTTCTAATAAATGCCTCGCCAATGTATGTAAGTTTTGATAAAGTGTAATGCATGATATTATAATACATACCATTCCTCATCCTTGTGAGCGACAAAAAACTCATTAAGCTGTTGCCTTCTGAATTCTAGTTTGTATTCGTTATATTTCTGAATGGCATCATCCACTGTGATTGAATCATCTTGTGCTGCCAGGAAAGCCTTGAAAGACATCATAGTAGGAGGACCATCTACTGGTCCCATTGGTATAACTGCATCTCTAAAGAAATTGTTGAATTTAAATTGCAAAGCAAAGAATGATCTAAGGCCATACAAAAATGCCCAATTCTTAACTACTAAAATTATAATAAATGTTTGTTAAAATAATATGTGTTGTTAAGATATTGCACTAACCTGGCTGGAACAGGTGGCATTGGTTGCCCATAGCCCTGGTGTGCAGGATGGGGACCAAAGTGGTCATGGCCCCAGCCATAAGATCCATAAGCATCATGTGGCATTCCTCCATATCTTCTGTCCTCCATAGGCCACTCAGGTCGAATTCTCTTGTTAGGTGGTCCTTCTCCTCTCACCGGCGAATACCCTCGACTGGCACTTGCTCCCCCTCTGTAGTCTCTGTAGTCAGGACCAGATCGACCTCCACGAGATCTTCCAACCCAAGAATCTCTGATGTTATTTTAAAAAAATATAAAACTTATAATGACCTACTTAAATTTTAAGTTTCATGCACTTATATTTAAAAACAATAAGAGATAAGCAATTGAATTCAGATATTTCATTGCCATATGGTACTTCAATATTTTGTAAAATGTCTGAAAAAACTCATGCAGTGCAAATTAATCACTTCCACTAAGTGATTAAAAATTTATAATTTAAATGTGTATGTTGAAATTTTTGTATCAATGTAAAAGCAGCTAAAGAGGTGTATCAAAGTAGGTGGAATAAATGGAAGGTGGATATATTTTAAAATTTTACCAAATTATAAAGTGCAATTTGATAGAATATAAAATCATATTATTTTTAAGAAAAAAAGTTTTCACAAAGCCTTCATTAATTTAAATGTATAATAAGAAAATTTGAAAGTCCTATCATAAAATTTAAGACAAAATGTTAACTACAAACTAGAAACTATCAATGGAAGAATTACATTAAGTTGAGAAAATATGAAGATGTGTGAGACGGGTAATTGATTACAATATTGTTATGGGCATCTTTTTTTCCAATATTTTAAATTGATAGAGAAACATAACGGAAATAACTGCTTTTGCAAACAATAACTGATATTTGTAGTAGAAGGACAAAAGAACATACTGATAGGTTGATTTGTGTGTATTATAAAATTATAATAATAGGTAACGAATAATAAAAACTAGTAGTGTCTAAAATGAAATTTTAAAAACTTATAAATAACTCAAAACTATATAATTCTCTATTTATAGCAAAATAATCTACAAAAAGAATATAAAAAAGAATATCATAGCCAAAAAAAGTTAAAAATTACTTTCTAAAATACAATAATGATATGTAATACAAACAATATATGAAATGATAAAGCTTTTAATAATGGACACTAGTAAAGTTTTGTGCTACCTCATTTCTGCTGGTTTGCTGTATATAAAATAAGAAATTAATTAATATTTAAGTCTAATATAATTTATCAGCTATTGAGCATATCAAATATTGGTATAAATATAGAATGAATTGACTATGTTCATCAGTGTTGCAATACCTTCCAACCAACGTAATAGATCGTTTAATAGGTTTAGGAGCTTGGACTAGGACGTCAGGATGTTTAAGAGAATGAGGAATGGATCTGTAATAACATATTTTTCATATATAAAAATTAGCAAGGTAAATTATAACAAAAAATATAGAGGCATAACTACCTTTCAGACCATTCTTCTCGACCACGATTTCTGTCTTCTCGACGATCGCCGCTACGATAGCTACTTCCTTCTGCTGCTCCTCTTTCGCCACGGAACTTGTCGCGTCTTTTACGGTCGTATTCATCATCACTATCGGCCATGTCAGCTGAATATATGTATAATTGTATATATGTATTCTGTTAAAAGGAGGACTAAACTCTGTCAAATTGATAATTTTAATATATTAAAAACTTAATTACTTACTTTTTATAGGAGTTTGAAGCCAAACTTAAAACATAAATGACTTCACTCTTCTGTTAGACGTCAAGAAGTCAACATTCAACAAGAAGTCAGAAACTTAAAAGAAAAAAAAGTAAAACTGACTGAACGTGAACATAAACGTAACCACCACAGATAGTATGGAGGATGGTCATGTGGACTACAGAGTAAAAACAGCACACTAAGTATAGAGTAAACAAATAGAAATATACATATCTTACATACACATTTTATTTATTCTGTGCATTTCATATACACTTTTTATATTTTTTTATTAAGCTTAGATATATTATAATTCTTCAAGCAAGATTATATTTTAATTCTTTACTTCTGTTACCAAGTTATTACTGATAAGAGACATAGGGTGATGACAACTTGTAGTAACATCCTATATAATTATGTCCCCCTGCTGGGCAAAGGCCCTCTGTGTCTTGAGGGTATAAGGGTATATAGTCACACACGCGACCCCACCAGGGATTACAGATTGAGCGCATTACCGGCCACCTGTGGATAGGCTTTTAGATGAAAGAGTGTGACGCATCATTCGCATTCAGTATCGATTTAATTTAATACTAGCTGTTAACCGTGGCTTCGCCCGCGTGGCAAAGGGAATTCAATGAGTTTTTGAAGTGAAACTTCTTTATCGGGTTGGAAAAAAATTTAGTGTAACATTTTTCCGTTACGCGCCATCTTTTTTTTATCTTAAAATGTTCTTCTAACGCCATCTAGTGTTGAATATGGGGTTTTATGTCGTCTTTATTCTTTAGTGGTTTTAATAGTTGACGCTAGATGGCGTTAGTTCTTTTGTGTGTTCATAGCAATATATATATATATATATATATATATATATATATATGTTATATATGAGTGATCAGCAAAATCAAAGGGTTTATTTTAATTCTAATTCTAAAATGTAAACAATATATTTCGTATTTCAGTTAACATAAGCCATTAATAACACAAATATATAATAACGACATCAATGATAGTAATAATTCTATTACAATTAATGAAATTCAATAATAATCTTTGTAGTAATGACAGTGCTAGCTCTAATACTTCAGAGCACGACACCGTGTCGACTTCCTCTTCTCCAAAGGCAGGCACCGCCCACTGTGACCTGACTGCGCCTTCCACCGAAGACACAATCTGAAGCTGACCGATGATGCTCTTCGAAACCTCGATCGGCTCCTGGAACTTGCGGTTGCGACGTCGATCCAACGTCCGCAAGTTCGGTTTTCCAAAAAAAAACTTCACTCACAACACTCGCGCGCGAGTCGAATGTCTGCCTTCTACTCACTGACAGACTATTCGGCAACGAAGGACCATGTACAAATTCAAAGCGGTTGTATTTTGGGTCCGTGAGGTTAATTGAAATAAACAAGGTTCACGTTGCAAGTTTTTTTAATCAACAATTTTTGCGGACCCTCATACTAATTACAACGGTCAAACCATAGTGTCTTTTAATTTATTACTAACGCCACCTATGTATTACAAATAAGAAACTAAATATTATACAAAGCTAAAATGAAATAATTGTAGAATTTGTATTTATGTCTATGATAATAAAAGCTTTTTATTAAACTTTATCTAATTTAACTTTATTTAACCAATTTCTGTAAAGTTGCATATAGTACATAATTTTTTGAAAAATAACGTCATAAAAAAGTTTCACTTATTACGAGTGTACGCTAGTACACGCACACATTTTTTTATTATACCCCAGATTATCTCGCAGACAGCTAAACCTACTTAATTGACACATCATTATATTATCTAAATTTTGAAGAATTCACACAATATATTTATAAATTACTAGCTCCTGCCCGCGACTACGTCTGCGTAGAATAGGACGAAGTTGTAAGACACTTTCTGTTTACTTTACTTTCTATGTAGTTTGGCCTACTGGTCAAAAAATTCTTTTTAAAAAAATTAATCATCTTTTCTATTACTATTACATTTCTATTACATTCAGTGATACTTGCGTGAAAAAGTAACAAACATCCATTCATACATACAAACTTTTACCTTTATAATATTAGTAAGGGTTACGTGTTATTCTGATGTTATAAGTTTTATTATTGTATAGTTTCAATCAAATCTATTCAATAGTTTTTACGTGAGTAACAAACATCCATCCATACATACAAACTCTCGCATTTATAACCTGTTAACCGCGACTTCGCCCGCGGGGCCTAAGGGAATTAATAATGGGTTTTTTATTATAACTAGAATATCTCGCAGATGGCTTGGAAAATTCACAGAGTATCTTTATAAATTATAGTCTATGTGTTATTATGATGTATAAAATATATTACTGTAAAATTTCATTAAAATCTATTAAGTAGGTTTTGCGTGAAATAGAACCTAACAAAAATCCATCCATACATACAAACTTTCGCGTTTATAATATTAGTAAGGAAGTAATGATTAGTAAGAACGTTATTTAATAATATACGCGTATGCACAACAGAAATGTGAAAAAAATCATTGTATTTTAGGTAGATGCCCTGTTTTATTATTAGCGATAAGATTTCGCGTTGTAATGTTATTGTAATGCTACCTCACTCACCAGACGAAACGCGAAAGTATTTGTCATACTTCCACTTTGCGCCGGTCTTCTGTGAGGTCGTGGTACTTATCCGGACGAGCCTGTCCATTCGTGCAACAGCCGAGGCTGCTGCGTGGCTCTACCACCGTTATCGTACCGTATTGTAATGTTAACTTTATGAATAAAAAAAAGATAAAAAAAAATTACTTCCTATTACTATTATTTTTAAATGTAAAAAGTCAGCAAGAGAGCAGGCGGTTCACAAGATGTTATGTGATTACCGTCACCCATGTATATTACATCTACAGTGTACAATACCTGTCAGGTTGGAACTGCGTTGCAAACGTTAATTAAGTGAGTCTTGGTTACCCCACTTACCAGAAAAAATGCATAAGTATAATATGTACTTCCACTTAACGCCAGTTTTCTGTGTGACTGTTGTACCTTCCTGTACGAGCCTACCCATTCTTGCAAAATCCTTTGCAGCTGCATGGCCCTACAACTAATTATTATTATTATTAAACGCACCCTGATGACGTTTTCACTTCTGTCGTGTTTTTTATGCTCATTATTCCGAAAATATGTAATCTTGCTCACGACGCTTTTCTTCACAGATGAACACGTAATAATTTAGCACTTCAAATTCACTCAACAATTTCATCTCTGCCGGAATAGAACTTAAGTTTTCAAGAATGTAGAATTACCATACTATTTCAAAAATTTAGCATTGAATAACAAACTTATTCGTTCTCATTTTCTGCATTACATATTGGGGTGAAAGTGGACGGAAACTATGCCTGTAGGAACGATGATTTAAATCATAAATATGTTTGAATCATTTAATTTCTTTTAGCCTTGATTTGGTATCTTTTCCTCATTAATGCATAAAAAATGCTATATTATATTACAACTTACCTAGTTTTTTACACACCTCGCGTGTATAAAAAACGGCTAAGTGCGAGTCGGACTCGCACACGAAGGGTTTCGTAACATTATCTACAAAAACGCCAAAAAATCATGTCTGTTGTATGGGAGCTCGACACAATTTTTTTTTATTTTGTTTTTTAGTATTTGTTGTTATAGCGGCAACAGTAATACATCATCTTTGAAAATTTTAACTATTTAGCTATAACGGTTCATGAGATACATCCTGGTGATAGACGCACAGACAGACAGCGGATTCTTAGTAATAGGGTCCCATTTTACTTTTTGGGCACGGACTAAAAATCACCTTCTTTACGCCAGTCTTGTGAGGCCATCTTTCGGCGGACGCGTGGGCCCATTCACGTAGCAGTAATAGTTTTTATGTGGTAATGTAATTTCTATATTTTTTAATTTAAAATTATGGATATACAAACACTTTAACGGGCCTTAAAATGATATTCCTGACAAATAGTTTTTCCGGGCCGGGATGTACTTTGTTTAACCTCTTAACTAAAACATGAATTTTCAGGCTTAACGATTTTTTTCTATTTACTTTTTTTCTTAAAACAATGATGAATGTTTTCTTTTGCAACACAAATAATATTTTCAAGTAACATTTTTAGGAGTTCTGTTAAAGTTGGGAACTTGACATCGATTACCCTATTTAGGTAATCGTGTTTTTTTTTTATCATAGAAACCCAGAAAGAAAATATATGGTTATTGAAAACTTATTTTATTTAATTATTGACATAGGAAATGATTATTAAGAAATAATTTGGTCCAATTTTCAAAATGGACTAGATATAACAATTGCTTAAGAACTTTGTCCTAAAAATATTATTTTTCGCAAACATTTATCTTTTGTTTGTTGTGTCGAAAAGAATCCCACGCCGGTTTAATGGCGCCCTAGCCCTCAATTCTTAAAACAACTATTATTCAGCGATACCACTAATGTTACGGACACTGATATTCGTCGGTATTATCACCACAATCATCATGTCCATCACATTGAGAAAATCTGGGCACACAACGTTTATTCAAACATCGTATCTCGTGGGCATTGCATGCGCCATCGCATCCATTGGGCTCGTCGCTGCCATCGCCGCAGTCAGCTAAACCGTCGCAGAACCGTGTGGAGAGAATGCACTGTCCGTTTGTACATGTGAATTGGTCTTCTGGACATTCTAGAATAAATATGAAGCTTATATATCGTCCCAATTATAATGTTAAATGCTGATTTATCACGTGTAAGGAAACCTAAGATCACAGCCCTAAACCACATCGTAAGGAAACTTGCATATTTTTGTAATAACAAAAAAAAATGTGAAGTCTGCCAATCTGCAGTGGGGTCGCGTAGCGGATGATACCCTAAAATACTGTAAAAAGGAGGCCTCCAGCTGTGGGACATATGCGGAGTGTATATTTACTTTAGTTTTTTATATATCGTTAAAGTCAGTGATAATTATACATTACACACTACTACTACTACATTTTGTATATCATTCACTCAAGTCATTGAAAATAACACGATAAAGGTTTGACTGCCTCGCTTTGTTAAAATTTGAATCTTGTTATTAAAGCTACGACTGAAATTGACACATGAAGCTAGTTTAATGCCAGTTAAGTGCTAATTGCCGTCTGCGATTCAGGCTGCTAGAAACAAAAGACCAGATCAAAAGATTATATAACTAAATATTTAAACGTACGTATAACTAAATATTTGTTGGGTGTTTATCGAGACTAAAATTATAAGACATATTTTTTTTATAAAAGAACGCGATCTTACAACGAAGAGGAAGTGGTATAGGAGAGTCCGTTAGGTCTCAATAAGCGCATTCGTAACCCAGTTTCGTGAGCTGTTGAACGGTATAAGTACGATTTACATTCATTTATACCCGTTGATTCTAGGTCAAAAGACAAAAAAAATTGCTGTATACATCATATATATTCATATTTATTATTTATTTGTAATACATATCTCCGAAAGAACCCTTTTGATTCTGAGCAATAATATTGTTATTTAGAAACTCTTGTAATGTAAAAATAAAATAAGTAACAGCATAGATATGCACTGTCCAGGAAAGGCCTTGCTTACTGTAGGTTAGCGGACTTGACATATCTTCGGCTTCTTAAAAAAGTATCATTTAAATAATATGCAAATTTTATTTTTTATTGCTGTGTTTTCTTTTATCGCTAAGCAGGTGATAAGACAGGATCTAAAATACCAGCAATTTTAAAACAAATGAAAATGTTAATTGCAATTAACAATTTCAAAAAGGCAGCAACTGGATTTGTTTTAATTCGGGTTGCTCAAGCCTATCAAATTAAAAGGGAACGCCCAGGGCATTGAAATATCACGGTATATTTATTTTCTATGCAATGCAACAATATTTTTCTATTAAATGTGCATTTTTAACTTAATTAATTAATTATATTATTTGCTCTTCATTATATAGAAATAAATTCAAATACTTATAAATTAATCAATGTGTTACCAACATACCTGCTGTGCAATTTACTTCGTCAAAGCCGTCCCAACAATCGATTACACCGTCACATAGTTTCGTATTAGAAAAACAGGAAATAGACTGTCCGCAGCGAAACTGCTTAGACAAGTCGCAATCTGTAAAATATTATAATCTTGATGTTGTTGTTGCTAATTTAAGCAATAGGCTCCGAAGCAAGTGTTTCGCAAACCGCATTAACAATTGTTTTTGTAGAGAAGGGTGACAAATATGTATGCATTTAATTGAATCTTTCTTCTTATGTACATAGATTACTCCAATAGGTTTCTATGTATTTTAAAAATAAAAATGCGTTATCTGAAAAAATTTGGAATAGAATAAATTGGAAAGAATGATTCCTTGGAGTTTTATGAGAGTATGTGAGAAGCGCGTTCGCGGTTCTCCTGATGTTAAGTGATATCCGTCGAACATGGACATTTGCAACGCCCGTAGGGTGTCAAATGCGTTGCCTTCTTTTAATAAAACGAGTCCCCCATTACCTCACTCACCAGATGATACGCAGACGTATAACACATCCACTTAACGCCGGTCTTCTGTCAGGTCGTGGTACTTCCCCAGACTGACCTACTCAATCGTGCAACAGCGAAGACTGTTGCGTAACCTTAGTGCAGTCAATTATGTTAAGAGTTAATATTTTTCATTATTTATTTGTTCGTGTGAAGCGAATGAAATGAAATAAACAACGAAATACGTTAAATACAGACAGACTAATTGCATACAAAATTATAAATCTATTGCACACAAATAATATATTAGGAAAATGGGAGAATTAAGCATTCATATCAATAATAATTTACCACAATGCATCTCGTCAGAGCGATCGTAGCATTGTATAGAGCCGTCACAGCGGGCATCAGCCGAAACGCAAAAGCCGTTGCGGCAACGCCATTCTTGTGGAGAACATGTGACCTGAGACAACAAACGGCAAACGCGCACACCACGAGCCTTGTCTACTAATTGGCATGCTTCCGTATCTAAAGCACACAATCCACCACAACCTGGAAATAATAAAAACAACCATTTATACTTTCAGTTTTAATAACAGTAATCGATTTGTATAAAGTTCCAAATGTTGAGATCACAACAGTGAAATACATATAACTGGAAATTTTTAGGTGCCAAAAAATACAACATAAAGAACGAGTTATAATTTATCCAGTTCTTTTATAAACATACGCTCCAACTTACCCGTCGGGTCATTCTGGTCGATTGCAATTCTGCAAACTGACGTTCCGCTGCTTTCTTGTAACATGCAAACTTCATTGCTTTGGCACGCACAAAATGTTTCGGATATATTTTTATTTATTATATCATCTAAGTTTATTTCAGCTTGTTTCTTCCCGTCTTTGGGATACGTTTTAATATTCTTTCGAATTTTGGTAATAATATCAGAAACATTCGATAACCTTTTCCTTGTCATGATAACAAGTGGTTTTAGTGTTGTCGTAAATTCTGTGATCGTAACAGCGGTAGTTAAAGGCAATTTTGAATATATACTGGCAGTTTCCGAAGTCGTTTTATTTAAATCTACATTGTTCATTGGCACTGCATTTGTACTTATAATATCGGTGGCATATGTTGTGTTGATTGATGTAAAATTTACTAATAATAAACTTATTACAATAATGGCTACAATCATTATACTTACTGAGCAAACTCTTATTTGCGTTCGTTTTTTTATAAGACTCTCAGTCAAAGTGAAATCTATGATACAGCCAATCCCTTTAAAACTTTTCCGCAAACTTCCTTGGCTTAAATTATTTGAACGCGTGTCGTAAGAAGTACATCTAAACTTATGTCGAATATTAGAATCAATTTCTTGAGATATTGTGGGAATATACTGGCTTCTATTCAAATTAGAGTCTTCGTTATCAAACACAGCACCTCTTATGTAATTACCATCATCACAATACGATATCGCTTCTAATTCATCAAAGTTTGACTTCACTGTTTTTAAACAGAATTTCTCTCTTGGCGTTGAATAAGTGTTTGGAAAAAAGCTTTCGTTAAGTGATTTTATATCATAATTTCTTATCTTTCCTTTACAATTAGAACAATGTTTAGTCACTTTATTATCAATTATTGGTGCATTTAAAATGGCTTTTCTCAAATTGCTGTTAGACCAAAGGTGTGAACAATATAAAGATTCCAAATTACAACTATTATTCTCTAAGACATCACTTGTCTTAGACAAATTATTTTCACAGTTGTTCGATAATGTCATTTTGTTGTTAACAGAGATATCATCTCCACAGCGCAGGAAATATTTTATTGTGCATCTACAAGAAAGTAAAAAGTATTTCAATATTTAAAAGGAGTTTCTCTATGTTCTATACTAAAACTTACTTCTACAAATATACTAAAATGTTAATGTCAAGACTTTAATATAGCACAAAAAGACCCAGAGATCAGTAACCTAACATTATTTAAATCTATCTACCTGAAAGTATTTAAATCTAGGCCAGTTTTGTGACCCAAAGGCCCAAACAGGTACTACCTAATTAATGATTTCTCCAAAACACTGATGTAATTAAATAGACATTACCTATATACATTGTCATGTGGTCTCCCTCGAATATTGTTTTGATTTTACTTCAATTTTGTAGAATTTGTCAGAAAAATAAAAACCGATGACGAGATAGAAAATAAAAACCGATAATAGATGACGAGAAAGAACTTATATTGCAAATTTGTGGAATCAGTTATGGTAGTTCTTGTTTTACGAAAGACAATAATGAATAGACAATTAATTATTGGTTAAACAATCATATTTGTTTACTATATGTACATAATTTTACAATTTCATATAGTGTGGCGTCCTAGAAAACATTTGTTATATACCCAAAATAGGCAAATAATTCGGGCAACTTCTCAAACCTTCAACTTTAGGTGTAAGTAAGTCCCTGAGACTGATTTATAAGCAAATAAAATTAAATAATGATGTTATACAGTAGAATCCGAATATAGCTACATCATTTATATGGCGCATCGTTTTTAGCAGAAAAAATGTAAAAGTTAGGTATCATATAAACTTACTATGAAAACATATCCATATAGTACGACTCCGGTTTAAGCGACCTACTGCTTAATGGGACTTATATTGGAGAAAGTCGCGCAGTGCCTTGTTTTCATTACTTTCAAGCAAAGGATGAAGGATGATGAACCGGAGGAGGCTTATTAGACTCCCAGTATCTCGAAACTCTGCAGGCCAGTAGCGGATTCAGGTTTGATGACGTCCTATGCCCACGACGGTATGGCGCTCTTTTACTTTTTCAAATTTAGTACCTGCCTGTTTAATTATTTTAACAAAGAAATTTTACTCTTGCAATGGTACTATGTTTAGATTGTAAGAGCGCTAGAAAATAAACTTTAAATTTTGTTCTTGCAATTTACAGAAAACCTAACTGGTTTTTTATGATAGCGGGTGGGCGTAATGGGTAGAACACTCTGACGTAGAAGGTGTGGGTTCGATCCCGACTACTGAAAAATTATTATACAATACTGAAAAATATTTATTTATTTATTTTAATTTTAGTCGTTTTAAAATTTTTGGTGCCATTTAAAATGTGCCCTCAAAATTGCCCGGGCCTCACGGGCCCTTAGCCTTAATCCGTTACTGCTGTAGGCATGTTCAATGTATTTGTTAAAATTAACTTTGATGCTAATGTTATGTAATGAAAAGTATCACGTCTCTTATTCGCATTGCTGTACAAAGCTCATACCGAACATGAGTCAGCCACAAATAATTACAGACTTTTTGCCACTAAATACATACATACATAGAACATAGAACATTGTATCTCTGATCAAACTGCAGCCAGGCAACAGTCCTTGCTGTTGCAGGAATGGGCATTTCTGTCCGAGGAAGTACCACGACCACACAGAAGACCAGCGTGAAGTGAAAGTTTTATACTTCTGCGCTTCTTCTAGTGAGTGAGGTTTCCGAAGGCCACTTTATTAAAAGGCATCTGCATCTCTACGGGTGATGCAAATGTTCACGGACGGCGGTTATCACTTAACATCTGATGAACCGCAAGCTCGCTTGCCATCTTATTACATAAAAAAAATTATTGTATTGGCCTTAATCGCAATGTTAAAGTACCATTATATCTAAAATCGTATATTTAATATATATTTGTTTTGCTTAAATAGAAATATATCTATGTAACTAGATTATGTACTTGTAAATATAATGTAAATAATGTAAATAAAATAATAGTTCTACTAGTTTAAATAATTTTTTGTTTCTTAAAAAAGTATTTAAACGAGTAGAACGGGCAGTGATAAAGGTCTATTAAATTAGCTACGAAATCTTTAATGCTCCTTTATATGCCCTTTTTCTGTAGAGTTAGGTTGTAGTCCGTAGACCATTAAAGCTTCATCAAACGCAGGACTTTTATTCATAAAATATTTCGTATTATTGCTTATATACATAAAAGAGAATGAAAATAATCAAGGCGACTCTAATTGATAACTTATTATAATAATATATAAATAAAACATATACTTATAATTAGGTCTAGACATTTACATTAATGATATCAATTGCTTTATTATTTATAATGAAGAGAATTATTTATTTTCTTTATCACAATAATTTTACTCCTTATTCCTACATTTATCATTAAGAAAACTTATAAGTTCTGGTTTAATTGCTACGAAATAGTAGCCGGTAGGGTAATTTATAAAAGGGTACAAACCGTATTCCTCCTTCTTCAATTACCGCTTTTTTAGCGCATATCTTATTCCATTTTCATTATTTTTGGAGTAACGTAACATTTACTTAGAATTTACATATAGATACACGTTAAATTATAACAATTGTTTTTACTCAATATTCATTCCTATTCACAAAAGTAATAATGAACAAAAACAACATGACTTTTTGTTAAATACAACTGTTGTGTTTAGTGTTTAGTCTTACCCTGCAAAATACTTTACGTGGCTAGGAAAACGCGGAAACAGTTTGGATTTTATTAGTTCACATGATCATATCTTTAGGCTGTTTTTATATTAAGACTGTAAAACATACTAGTCGTTTCTTATTAAATACCATTTTACTAGGTATTGTAATGAACCTTTTTCTTTACTATTTTGCAATATATTTGACGTGACCTTTACTTTTCTAGGGCACTTGTATCACCTATCAGGGTCATGATTAGTAGTAAATTGTAATAATTAATCAATGTAATAAAGTTAATTTATTAAAAAAAAAAAAAACTTACATGTGCAGATGGAATGAAAATACTATAAAGTAAACTTCTTCATGTTAAATTTATTGTCGGTTTGAAGATCGTGTACACGTCCGTATGCTGTGCAGCCGCGTGTCGAGTATGGACTACGGTTGCCGTTGACAACGTCTAAACAACTTTGCATTAACACCAGCAACCCGGGCACCGTAGCCAAGGGGCGAAAGAGACAGATAAAGCACACACACCGGCTATTAGAAGGGGATGTGTGCACGGGGTTGACTGCGTATGGTCAAGGCTCGTGCTCAGTCAAGAGTAACACGCGGTACGCCTTTATGCGCGCAACTGAATGGACAGCTGTTCGTTGAAGCACCCTCGTAAACCTAATAAGTGTTGTTTAGCAGGTTGAAAGTATACAGTTTTATTGAGAAGAAGGTACTATAATAAAGTAACTCAAATGTTCACTATTTCTAAATTGACAAATGGTGAAAAATAACAAGGAATAAGTGTTTTATTTTAACTAGTAAATGGCATAATTAAAATAAAAAATCTTTACTACAATCCAGTGGGTATACTTCTAGCTTAGTAATCGTAACAATAACTCTACTATATAAATTGTTAAATGTTTGAGTTAAAGAGAAAGTGCACAAATGTTTATTAAGTATTAAACATTTTAAAATTACCGATATTAGAGTTTGATTTCCATGTACTGTTGCATATTACGTAATGTGAATTTATTGTAGAAAAATTGTCGAATAATTTCTTCGGCGCTGTGGGATTCGAACTTGCGTCTTTCGGGAAAGGAAATTGTTTGTAAGACCCATCTAGTAGCTTTTCGTAGTAACTGAAACCTCTACTAAAACTTTAAGATCGATGAGAGGTGATTAAGTGAATTGGATGTTATACTCCCTAAGATGTGTCTTTTTATGTTCCAGAAGTAGTGCGTAGGTCCCTCAAAATTTGTCCATGTATAATGTGGGTCTTAGAGTTACGTCTTGTATTGTATCTCACATGTGTTTATAATGGATTTTTAAAAAGTTTTGAACACCATCAAATCTAATAAACATTACTAAAGTGTGCTGTAGGTATTGTATGTTTTAGAAGTAATTATTATCACTTGAGTCTTTGAGAGTATTTCGGCCCCTTTGGTTAATTGGGACTTATTAATTCTTATACGACTTTAATTAGATGACTACGTTACTTGAGAGCACCCAAATGTTATCGAGACATGAGATTGTGTGTAGTACATTTGAATTGTTCTAAATTTTGGATAATAGTTGATGAGGATTTAAAAAAAAACTAAATTGCGTTGGTTTAATGTGTACCTGTAACCGATACGCACTATTGCGCAGGTTTTTGTATATGGTAGAGGCAAGATATTCAAGGTTCGTGGAAAGCGAAAAATCGTAATCTCACTATACTGATAGGTGATTATGTATGTGATTTATATATATAAAATATAAAAGTGATTAACTTAAATTAAAATACAGATTATATTCCCAGTGTTCATTTTATTTAGTAAAACTTTGAATTTGATTGTCGAATTTAGATATGCATTATCAGATGCCTGTGTGTTTTGCAACATTGTTATGTTTCTTGAACAATATTACTTATGCTTCACGATCATAATCTCCTTGCTACAGAACAATAATTGAATGATGCCAGCCTTGGCCGCTCCGCGCTTTGTCTTCAGTGCAGTTTGCGCCACTTTTTTACGCCTCCAGTGTTACCGCACTCGTATGTTTAGCTTTTCTACATTCTTCTGGCGTGTTCAGTGCAGCATTTTAATATTTGCTTTCATCATATACGACATCAGAATATAATAACACACGATTGTACCTTTTAATAACATGCTGCAAATTTTTGTCGTTTAAACAAATACGAACTCACTAATTGTATCTTTAGTTCACCAAATAAATAAATTACATAAATCACAAATTTATGAACGTCTTCGTCAATCTTTCTTATATAGTAACTGCGACAATGAGATTATGAATAAAAATAAAATCCGCGAAAAACAAATTACTGTAAGATGGATCCTAGAGCACAGGCTTCTGAGGTGAGTTAAGCTGTTTGGCATTCACCTGTGTCCCCTAGTTTGCGGATTGCGGGCTCGGTGCGTATGCACGTCCTGTCGACAGCATCTCGCCGATGTAGCCGACAAGATGCGTCGCGCTCGGCCGGCCGACGCTGCCCGCTACACGCTGACGCTACCACTACCATCCGGCGGCACAACTCTCACTGCGCGCGCCGCGTGCGGTTGTCGCTCGGTCGTATCGTGCCTCGCTCGCCCACCTAGCCCGCTCAGACCCCGACGCACACCTTAGTATTCCGCGACACGGCCGTCAGTGTGCGCGCCACGGCAAATCCGCGCGGTTTCACTCGACTGTTAGTATGTGAATGCGACATTTTTTGTTTGTTCCACACGAAAACGGGTGAAATGTTATTGTTCGCTCACTGATCGTCATCGCGCGCGCTTACTTCGCACCGAACTTGAAGCCACTCCATGAGGAACTGGTCGTTTTTACTTTGCTAAGGTGAGATTAATGCTTTTTCAGTTGGGTTCGTGCTTTTTCCAGTGAACCGTAACAAAATGGGTAGAGATTTTTGCAGACGACAAATTTTCGTAACATAGATATTTAACAAATATGTTTATTTTATATAGGTAGATAGTAAGTATTGCGTCTGAATATCATAGCATTATTCAATGCCGAGAAAAGTGTGAGTAAGTTATTCACTAAGGCAGACGTCCTACTTCCGATGTAAGTCGATTGACCAAGTAAACACTGTCACTTTGTTCGTCAGGTCAAATAAGGCTGAGTAAGATTAAAAACATGAATATGAATATTATATAACATGATGAACATAAGTATGATACGAAAAATTGACTAGCTTGCAAACATACATAGGTACGACAATATAAATTTAGTTTTAAAGTAAAAACTGCAATTGAACTTTCCAAGAAGTTATTAGATAGACTACAATTAAATTATTAGCAGGATTATGATTTCGTTTTAAATTTTGTAAACAAAAGAATTAGCAGTTATCATATTATAGGTAGGTAGAAGTATTACTTACATTTGTGCCACTATACAGTAATAATAGAAATATTTGAATTTGGGACAATTAACATAGAGATGTTTAATAACTATAGACTTACCTTTTATTTATGCCACCTAACAGTATATAATTACGTAAGGAATGGCAATTAAATATTATTGGATGTAAACATTAATTATTTAAACATAATTATGTAGGTATAATAATTTTAAGAAAAAAAGCTCATGGTCATTTGATGAGTACACAATATTTTTCCAAATTTTTCGCGCTCCGAGAACTAGGAGTCCCATATTTTTTACTAGCGACCCGCCCGGATTCGAACGGGTAGAAATAATTATAAAAATGAAATGTACATCCAAACGCTATAAACGAAATAGGCTGTCACCCAGTGGGTTAATCTGAAGATAGGCCCAAAACTTCATCGAATCGTCGTACTGCCGTTTTGGAGGTCATAGATAACGCAGTAGAAATTATTTATGAGAAAAGAACATATTATTTAAAAACTAAAAACGCATCAAGAAATCGGATTAGTGGATAACATGGTCAATTTATTTTCAATGCTTCTAAAGTTTGCGGCCTCAATCAGAATGGATGGATCTCCAAATCGAAGTATTTTTCGCACGAAAACCTAGTGATGTTTCACCTGACCGCATGTAACCGTATTCTGTAAGTTACTAATATTGATAAAAATATCGCAGCATTGATATTTAATTAAAATCAATGAAACCTTTAAAGTGCAAAGGTGACGAAACTCCTTTATTCTGACTTAGTAGTTATGCAACAGTTAATCGGATGTAGCGAAAATTTATCAGCTTTTTATGTAACAGCTGGAAGCTAATTAAAATTGCGAAACACTTACGACATGTATGCATAAGATTTACAAATTCGGATTTAAAGAAATCTACTTCTTCTTAGCCGATTCCATCTATCGACCATATTTGAGAGACGGAGCGATGAAATTGGCCAACTAAACATACGTTTATCTTTTGAATTGACTTGAAAAATCGATCACTGGTATGCGTATCGTATAAATATCACCTGGAGAGAGCGTTTTCATCTGGCAGTCCGCGTCATTTGGATATCTCGACTCGGTAACGAAAAAAGTGAAACCGATGAATGTATGTGTGTTACCCACCTTCTCACCACCTTCTAAGTATCGCTTTTAAGATGTCATTTTTGTAAACAACATGTTTTCCTTATTTATACTTATTTCGACTTATTTCTTTAGTTAAGATACATTGTTTTGATTATACATTGATTTGTATTGATCTTTTTTATCAAACATCTATTCAGCAATAACTATCTTATGACAGATATATGCAGTAACTGAATAACACCCAGCGTTCGTTGCAAAGGTTTTTTTTAATGAAATTTGCATAAAAATACAAAAAAAAATATTTTTGGTAAGAAGGATGTACGCAGAAATTGAAGTTTCTCATCACTTTCTGATGAATACAGACTTAACATAGAAACATTTATTTCCAGGTATGACTAATAATTTACATAAATTAATAATATGTTTTAGAATTTGTAGAAACATGGACGAAAATTTTTGCTCGCTGTGGAAATTGAACACACTTCTTCCAACATCGCGCCCTAATGCTTTAAACCACTAAGCTAATCAGTTGATTGCCACACCGACGAAAAGGTCAACGTATTTTATCCTTTACCTATATTATATATCCAACGTATTTTTACGCATTTTAAGCAATGCTTGGCGCATCTATTGTTATGTCCTATATTGCTTACAGCACACAAACAATATCGTTTGACAACAATAATTCGAACGAGAGTTGACATTGCTATTTGTAATTTAAATTTTTATAGGGGCGAATTCGGAAAACTTTCGTCCATTTTTCTACAAATTTTAATGTTTCGTCACAAGTGCAGAGACTAGCACTATAAGATTTAAAATTTCATATAATATATATGGATAAAAAAAATATTTTGAAAAGTAATTTCATGTAACGTACTGATACTTTTTTACTCTGATTGATACCTTAAAACGTTGAGCGACCTCAAAAAAATAGCCGTATTTGTTTTTCAATTACAAGCCGTATTGTGCATAGACTAAAATATTGCGAATTAAAAAAATAACGTACTCCATTTTGTTTTATTATTGAATCAAGTCATGCCTTGCAAACTTTCTTTGGTGACACGAAGCAGGTTAACGGCGAATTTCGACGGCCGTAGAATTACAAACAGACCTCCGTCGTGTGTAACTACAACCACGTACTATTTGTTACGTTATTAAAAAGAGGTCATATGGTATCAAAATCATATCAAATAATTGTGACAAAAGAAAAGAAATATAAGAAGAAAAGAAATATAAGAAGGTGGTGTTGAGAGAATGTTTTGTGAATAACAAAAATTAATAGCCCGCGTAAGGATACAATAAACAAAACACGGTACACAATAACATTTGGCGATGTAACACCACTTTAACTATTGCACCATCATTTTTTTTATGCGAAAAGTTGTCAAACGAGCAAACGTTTCACCAGAATATCGCCGGCTGAATACCGCCGCCCATAGACATCTGCCACACCCTAGGGTTACAGATGCGTTGACAACCTTTTGAAAATTGGGCTCCGGCTACCTCACTCACCAGACGAAACGCGAAAGTATTTGTCATACTTCCACTTTACGCTGGTCTTCTGTGAGGTCGTGGTACTTACCCGGACGGGCCTGCCCATTCGTGCAACAGCTGGAGGCTGCTGCGTGGCCCTACCACCCCGTTAAAATCTAATCATGACTCAAATAGGAATGCAAATCCTTTCATTGAAAAGTGTTAAATATATTGAGTGTAGTTTTAAAATAACTAATGACATGTATGGACTGATAGATCATTGATAAGTATAAAAAGTAAGGATAGAGATTTGAACGAAATTCGATCACCACGATAAGAAAGTTAAATAATTATTGTGTAAAATAATTCAGTTTTTCTTTATTCAATATAGGCTAATTTTAATCTCTTATTGAATGTCAAAACTACCACCGGTTCACTAATTTACAACTGCCCTGAGTAGAACCGCCAAGAAACTCTGCTTTCTTGTTATCTTATATTTCTTATTAATTATATAAGTTCACAAGATTATTTAAGTATAAAATCAACAACAGCCGGGGGACTGTCTCAGTGCAAAGGATGTATGGAAGTGACTCTTCATTTCCATACATCCTTATCCTCAATATATTTCGCGACATTATAATAGGTCCTTTCCATTATGATAGCTTTTAAAAAATTTTGCACTAATGGGCAGGCTCTTTCAGGGAAGTACCTACTACGGCCTCATAGTAGACCAGCGTGAAGTAGAAGTATTAATTGTAGATTTCATTGTCGTTCGGTCTTGTAAGCGATGTAACCAGGGCCCAGTTTTAAGGTGGGTGCAACTGCAACCTCTCTGGTGTTGTAGATGTTCATGGGTGCCAGTGATCACTTGACATCCGGTGAACTACCTGCTGAGTGGTACAAACTGGCTTATTAATCTTTAGGAAATCAAGAAAGAGAAAACAAACGACTCACAATTTCAAACGTAGTTTCAGTTTTTTAATGTAGGTTTTGCGTGTTCACATAAAAAGATAACATGATTTTTTAATAAACAACAAGAAACACATAACCAAGGATGTAGCGTAAATTATGTTCAAGATAAGCGATAGAAGGAATCTGTCAAAAATATGTGATTAAATTTTGAATTGATTTAGCTTACTATAATTAAATCATTTTTTATAGTAATTATTTCATTGTTTAATGTGTAATGACACCTCATCGCATATACTCAGATAGAATAAAAGTTTATGTAAAATCAGAACATTTAAGCTTTTTAAGTACCTACTTTTACATATAATGCTCCTTGCATTACATGTAAATAGTACTTCAAAGCCGTTAACCAGATAACCCTGGACATTGGCCAAGAGCTATTTAGAGCTATTTCCGTTCTAAAATTATATTTGCAATTTCCAAACAAAATCATCGATATTTAACTCCTTTAGCACAGGAACAGTAATCCTTAGACTCAATGCAATTATTCATACGCAGCCTTCGTACAAGAGCTACTTACAAAAATTACATCACAAGGCTAACAGTACATACATACTCGTATATAACCCAAAGGAAAGCGTGTCGGAGGTCATGTGAGTATGCTCTCTAATATATCGCTAATAAGTCAAACACGCGTTCGTCTTTTATGTAATAGGAATTATTAATTGCTATTAAGTAAATTACGAACGCGTAAGTAGTTCACGTCCCTCTTATATATGATGAAAA